TTCTGAATTTCCTATTTTCCTAATTTCCTATACTTCAGTCCCGGCGGAAAGATTATTCTCACGTGCTACATTAACTATTAGAAAACATCGAAATCGCCTTAATAATAAATCTGCATGATGTTTGTTATGCCTAAACGATTGGGTGAAAAACAAAATGATTTGCGACCGACAGGGCTGAGGGCTGTAATTCTCTCTTCCGACTCTTACATTATAGCAAGTATTTAAGTACTCCTTATTGCACTGAAACAATAAGATTATGCATGACGAGATTTCGATACAAAACTTATTAGTTCATCGGCGAGACGAGACAAGACTATGAAAATCTCGTCTCGATGATCTCGTGAGAACCACTACCAAAGCCGAAATCGGTGATAGCTCACCGATTTCGCATTCAATTACTCCACGCGAAAGGGTCTCAATATTAAAATGTAATTAATCAATTGAGATAACAAAAACTAAGTAATAATCATAAATAAGCTGCTAAGCAATTAATGCTAAGCTGCTTTAAAAAAAAGAATAAATTAAATATTAAGCAAATTAAACAGCAAAAATCAAAAAGCAGTTTACTTAATTAATCACTGTAATTAAGCAATACGCAAAAATACTATTACTATCTTATTTTGGGTAAAAGAATCTCAAAAACGTTATATACAAAACTAAACATGAATCGCTTTATGACTTAAAAACTAAAATTAGAAGAGAATGTGCTGACATCAGTCAAGAAACAATAGTATTAGGGTCCAGCAATACATCCATGGATTAGGTTACTTTCAAGCACAAGAAAGGTTTCAGTTTCAACATTTAGTTAAGTAGAAAATTATTCTTTCTTATTAATTGCAATGTTAAGATATAACCATGTTATGTTACCCGAAATAAAATAGTAACAGTATTTAAAAATGCCATTCCTTCGAAGACAGCTGTATACCGACATAGGGTGTGCTACATAGCCTTTCTTCTGGAATAATATTTGATTAAATTTTGATTTTTATGAAATCACTAATTGCACTTTTATACTGGTTTATTATAAGTAAATCCGCTTTATATGTTTCGACTAATTAGTTATCTTCAGAAGCGCTACAAATTGACAAGAATGATAATAAAAGTTGTTACAAATATGAAATTAAATAAACTTACTTGTCGTAATATAAGAAAAGGAGTTCAAAAAACTTCGCATGAAAGTGTAAGTCGTAAATAAGATCAGCACATCAAAAACGGTGATATTTAAAACAATTATTGTAAATATTAATTTGAAAACTATAGAACTAACATGTTAAAAATGTAAATGTAAAGTTTAAGAATTAAAATTAAAAACGACGTTACATGAAAAGTTACAAAAATAAAATGGTTGAGAAATTGTAAGAGGCAACCATTTTTTATGAGTTCGCGAAAACCAGAAATAAAATGTATAAATGCGCATGTGTTGAAAATAAATAAAATTACATAGAGGATGTTCAGATGAAACAAATCCCTTGTGCGAGTATAATTGTCTGCGAGGCAACAACTCTAAAATTTGTTTTTTAAAAATGTATGTAATGTATATAATTTGTATTTTGTAGTTTAATATTTCCAGGCGTTGAATAGTAAGGTAAGGGAAGGGGATATATAATTTGGATTTTTAAATTAATAGAAAAATATAGGATAGGGAATACAAGGATAGGGTGTAGACAGGAGTTGGGTGTTGCCGCAGGGACCCCAAAATCCGCGAACAGTGTGTGCGGCTAAGTACACTGATCCTCGGTATTTTGGGGAAATGGGTTATTGAGGCAACAACGAAACAACACCACGGAAATAACAAATATTCATAGCACATACCAACATAATTTTCACCTACGAATAACCAACCTTTCCAACACTCAATTTAACAAAAAAGAAATGGACCTTCTCAATAAAGGACACAAGTACACCATTCCAACAAGTCAGATTAACCTACCTACACTTGCCATAGAACTAGAAAACAATATTGATGGATTGCCGGAGGAAGATAGCTTAAGAAAAGACCTCATGGGAAAGCTTAAAAGAAAAGAACAATGTATTCAAAATAATAATAAAAACAACACACACAATAACACTCATAACATACACTGGAAAGAAGAGAACAAGACATTACGTAAGATAAAAAATAAAATTAAAACCAATTCCCTCATCGTGACAAACGCTGATAAAAATGCAGGTTTAGTCATTTTAGATAAACATTTATACATTTCCAAGACTCTTACATTTTTTGAGGAAAACAACTTCTATGAGATTAACAAAAATCCTAAAAACTCTTTTCACAATAAGACAAAGAAAGTAGTAAAAGATGCAGAAACATTTTTAAAAGACAACAATATTAACCCATATTTCATTTTACCTATGAACCCAAAAATTCCATTGCTTTACTCTCTTATCAAATTACATAAAAATAACTCTCCTATTAGACCTATCATATCTTCTATAGATTCTAGCACATACAGAATTTGCAAATTCTTAATCTAATTTTTCAAAAATGTCATAAATTTCAAGGCTGACTATGCCATCACCAATAGATATGAACTTATAGAAACTTTAAAATCTTTACATTTACCTAAAAACTTAACTTTACTATCTTTCGATGTCACAAACTTATATACCAACGTTCCAGTTAATGAAACACTAAATATAGCTAAACACATCATAGAAGAAAAAGTGGACTCAAAAAATGTTGAACATATTTTTAATTTACTTAAAATATGCACAGAACAAAATTTCTGTCAATTCAATGATAAATTTTACCAATACAATGAGGGTATTCCAATGGGATCCCCCTTGAGCGGTCTACTCTCCGACATATTCCTTAATAGTATAGAAAACAAAATTTTACACAAAGATAACATTAACAATAATAATATAGTCCTGTGGCGCAGATATGTTGATGATATTTTGATAATTTGGGATGATGACGGATTCAATATGATAGATGATTTCCATAAATACATTAATAACCTCCATAAAAATCTTAAATTTACTATAGAAATTGAAAAACATAAACAACTAAACTTCTTAGATCTCACCTTAGTTAATACCGATTATTCTATTCAATACAAAATTTACAGAAAACCAACACAAACAGACACCATAATCCCATATTATTTTCATCACATTACAACACACAAATTAGCTGCCTTTAATGCTTATCTATATAGATGTTTCAACACCCCCCTTTCAAACGAAGATAGAAACACAGAAATTAATATCATTAAGAGTATAGGTATTAACAATGGTTTTCAATTATCCCAAATTGACAAAATAATTAATAAATTCATTTTTAAACACAACCTTAACAACTCTACAGGTCTTCAACCTATAACTCAAAACTTTGATACATACAGAATTACTTATCCCGGCAAAATAGCTCACAATATCAGAAACATTTTCAATAAATATGGAATCAGCATATCTTACAAAAACAATCACACCTTACAAAAACTTTTGGATAATGCAAAAGATTAGCTAGACTTGTTGGAACTTAACGGTGTTTACAGTTTAGAATGTAATACTGATACTAATTTAGTATCTAATTTTGGTAAACACCTATCTCTGCACAACCACACTTTTGATATTAAAGAAAATGTAACACTGATACATAAACAAAATAAAGGCCACAAACTTGAGCTTTTAGACAGCTATGAAATAGACAAATTCATAAAAACTAATACAAGGCTTGAGTGCCTTAATGACCACGTCCTCCCCTTAAAGCCACCCTTATACAAATGCCTCAATAACCCATTTCCCCAAAATACCGAGGATCAGTGTACTTAGCCGCACACACTGTTCGCAGATTTTGGGGTCCCTGCGGCAACACCCAACTCCTGTCTACACCCTATCCTTGTATTCCCTATCCTATATTTTTCTATTAATTTAAAAATCCAAATTTTATTATCCCCTTCCCTTACCTTACTATTCAACGCCTGGAAATATTAACTACAAAATACAAATTATATACATTACATACATTTTTAAAAAACAGATTTTAGAGTTGTTGCCTCGCAGACAATTATACTCGCAGAAGGGATTTGTTTCATCTGAACACCCTCTATGTAATTTTATTTTATTTTCAACACATGCGCATTTATACATTTTATTTCTGGTTTTCGCGAACTCATAAAAAGTGGTTACCTCTTACAATTTCTCAACCATTTTATTTTTGTAACTTTTCATGTAACGTCGTTTTTAATTTTAATTCTTAAACTTTACATTTACATTTTTAACATGTTAGTTCTATAGTTTTTTAAATTAATATTTACAATAATTGTTTTAAATATCACCGTTTTTGATGTGCTGACCTTATTTACGACTTATACTTTCATGCGAAGTTTTTTGAACGCCTTTTCTTATATTACGACAAGTAAGTTTATTTCATTTCATATTTGTAACAACTTTTATTATCATTCTTGTTGTCAATTTGTAGCGCTTCTGAAGATGACTAATTAGTCGAAACATGTAAAGCGGATTTACTTATAATAAACCAGTATAAAAGTACAATTAGTGATTTTATAAAAATCAAAATTTAATCAAATATTATTCACATCTACTGGTAAAATGGATTTTACTATTAATATTGATCAAATTTCTTCTGGAAGGCTATGCTTCGAATTTTTATCGAATTGATTCCATATGTACTTTATGTACACAGTGTATATGTAGATAATTGGATGAATAGATTTTAATCAGAAAACTTTACCAGGACGAGTCCTTGCCAAAATAACATGGAGTTATTTCAATAAAATTTGTTACATTTATTAATTTCTGCGTTCCTTTTTACCCGGTTATTCCGGCTGTAACCCTCAAAAGTTACCTACGAAGCGAAAGAGTTCTTTACCTCTCTAAACATAAGGTGGCGTCCGAGCTTTCCGTTAACATTTTTTTTTTAAACAAGTTCATTATGAGCGCCAAGACACGTCTTCCCAAATCAAAACGGGAAGAAACGTCATAAAGTATTGAAAATGAAGACATGATTTCTTTTTGAAGTTAAACAACAAGAATTAATCTTTATTTTATTGAAAATTACAAGTTTCTACAATTTTTTCGATAAAAATTCGCAATCAACTTAACATACAAAAGGTTTAGTTGCTATTGTGAAATTTACAATATATTCCTATTATATTCCTTTATACCTTCGTTTCATAATTTGTGAAGCATCTATTAATGCAGTTCCATAAATTGTATTAGTTAAGTGGATACTTAATTCATTTAAGTCTGTGTCCCAAGTTTCTGTTTCTGGATTAAAAACTACAACGCGATTCGTATCATTACCTTTGCCAAACACGTATATCATATTTTTATAAGATGTTATCGATAATGGTTCAGTAGAATAAAAACTAATTTCTGAAGTTATATCAGTCCACAATTTATTCTTGGGATCGTATACTGAAATAGTGTTAGACGTACCACTAACATTATCTAAACCTCCGAATACATATAATAGTCCTTTAACAAATGTAGCAACTAGTAAATAAAGAAAAAGCTTTTAAAACAATTTATGTACTGTAAGATAATCATGTACCTGCACGTTTTCTTGGATAGTTCATATCCGAGAGACGTTCCCATACATTTGTATCTATATTGTAACGTTCCGCACATTTCAAGGTTCGAACGGCATCCCTTCCTCCAATCTGTATATAAAAGTAAAAAATTGATAATGTAAGTTAACTAAAATCTATTTGTAACGATAAAATGCGTTATTTTATTTAGTAGGACATACCGCATATATAAAATTGTCTAAAACGCATAAAGCAACGTCGTTTCTTCCAACATTCATAGGCTTAATACTTGTTATTGTGCAAGCTATTAAATCAACCTTTTCTGCGACACTTGTTGGTGAATAACCATAATAATTATTACTAATTATTGTGTGAAATGAATAAATAAAATGATTCAAAATGATCACCTCTTCAAATGTTGTTTTATGATCTGTTAACGTTTTGTGATCAAATAATATTCCACTGGTTAAGCCGTATTTTGCAATAATAGGGCTATTTTCTGACGATTTTTTATAAACCACATACAGTAAGTCTTTTATATAACTGAATGAAATTTGATAAAGAGATTCAGTTATGGTGGGCAACTTGTGCAGGGTTTCTGTTTTAAAGTTATAATACTTCACAAAGCCTAAAAGATAATATATTATAAGTACGAAGGCTTTCATAGCCGGTGTTATTTAAACTAAAACTAGAACTAAGACTAGCACTATCATAGTACTAGTGTTAGTTCTAGTTTTAGTTTAAATAATATATTACTCTAACGTAACACAGAAGAAGGAATCAACCATTATTTCTTGCCGTGTAAGAAACGAGCAAAACTTCTCTCTACCCTTAATATATAATTATTAATTCACATAGAAAAAAAAACAAAATAAACATACATTGATTTTGTGGTGATTTGCCCATAACCAACAACACATCTCCGTCTTTCCGAGGCTTTGCTTCTGACGCAAATTGCGAATAAACTTTATAAATCAGCTCATGATTGTTCTTAATTAATTCATTTTGAATCAAACAATTATTCAAATAAGTTCTTGGTATCAAACTCATTCGAATACATCCTATTATATCAGCAATATAAACTTTTCTTCTTTCTTGATCGTGTTTTATCCAAGAAATTGCGCATTCAAATACTTGACTTTCTGCTTCAATTGATAATGAATCTTTGCTTAGTAACTCGATTAGTTCTTCAATTTCTAATTCCATAAATTTGTCGGAGTTCATTATGTCACTTTAATTAAATATGTTAAAGATGTTAGTACATGGTGATGTAAAACTCTTTCTCTAGTTGAACGTGAATAAAACAAAGATATAATTTCGCAACTTACATTATTAACAGCAGGAGTTACTGGGGAGATAATATAGACTCCGACCACTATTTGACAATTGCTTCAATAAGAAAAGATAATTTGATGGGGAATGTCGCCGATTAGTCTGCACGGAGCATAATCTAACTCATACAAATTTCGTCCTTATTAAAAGCCATCTATAAAGTATGTAGCAGCAGCGACAACGCACCCTCATATCAATAACGACCATAACCCAGTCGTAATAAATTTACGATTTCGCCAGTTCAGTAGAGCTCAATAGATTCGCCAATCTAGAGATACGGGTCCAAACATCTCAAGACCTGTAGACGGGTCTCAGGAACAGCCGACAAGTACAATGACGATGATATAGATATGATGTCATAAAGAAGGCTCTCATTGAGACTCAAGATATCGAGATTGGATTTACACATACCCTCAAGAAACAAGAGTGGATGACAGACCCAACCCTCTACTATCCGTGCAAAAAGTCAAGGCCCCTCACTTTAGAGATCGATATCTTCGCAACCACTCGATAAAAAAAATTGCGACAAAGTTTGCTGTAATCACTGAACATTTCTAGGTAACATATGTTAATTTGAAAATTTTCTGATTCACGGTTTTCTTTTTATCGCGAGTTAAATGAAAAAAGTACCCGATATTTTACGGTACCGGCAGCTTTGTCAACTTTGCGATTTTTTTTCTCGAAAACTATCGTACGACAAAATTTCAATTTTGATCAGATGGTAGCCTGATGTATTCTTAATGAGTGGCATATTTTATTTTTTCGATATTCCATACAGTTTCGCGGTTTTGTAAGACGCCGATATGTTGAAAACGGCTAGGTGGATTTCCTCGCGGATTTGACCAAAATATGTCAAATAATGTCGATTGTCGGATTCCGTTAACAGTTTTTCAAAATTAGAGCTCCTTAAAAGCGATTTAATGGAATTACAAATTAAAGAGAAACAGAAATAAGCTTTGCGGGGTGACGGGGGTTCTGTCCAATCGGAACAGATGGTGCGCCCCAGACAGGACGTCGCGCGTTATTTCTTTATGTAGGTAAGATAAAGGCGCGACGTACTATCTGGGACACACCATTTGTTCCGATTGGACGGAACCCTCCTTTCCCCGCATATCTTACTTCTGTTTCTTTTTAATTTTTAATTCTATTAAATCGATCTTAAAAAATTAGGGAGCCCTAATTTTGAAAAACTGATAACGGAATCCGACAACCGACATTATTTGACATACTTTGGTAAAAATTGCGTTGAAATCCATCAGGTCGTTTTCGAAATAACCGCATCCTACTAAACCGCGCTTTTCCGCAAAACAATATGAAATATCGAAAAAATAAAATATAAAACACAAACAACATCGGGGTGTTTTCAGGGACGAAAATAACATAATCTTAGTAGGCGTTGAAATAAAGCTACATCGCTGGAAAGAGGTCAGGCGAGCTATAAATGTCCACACGCTGGAACCTTGAGACTGATAGCCAATGCGGAGATGGTTTAAAACTCATCACCTATCTGTTAGACTTCTTACACAAGGCTGGTAAGGTACCATAATACCATGATGGCTGAAGTCGACATTTGTCACTCTACACAAAATCATCAATCTGATGTCTCATGTTCTCAAAATATTTCTGCGCATCATTCGCGCTCGTATAGATTGCAAAAGAAAAACGGAGCAGGTACGCATGAGGCTGCTTTATTGACTATCAGAAAACTTTTGACTGCATCTCACATAGAAATAAAATAGAAGAACACAACATCTGATGAAATAGACATCCGCAGAGGCGTAAGAGATATCTACTCGGAAGTGATATTCCAGAAAGCACTAGTGCATACTGAGAGAGGAATTAAGATCAATGGAACCTCCATAAACAACATATGTTTTGCCGATGACACACTATCGTCATGAATCCAAGAACTGGATACTCACAAACGCTAAAGAGTCGCGTTAACGCCCTTGAAATTTTGTCGTGTACTACGGATATCATGGATAGACCGAATAACCAATGGCGGTATTTTCGCTAATCCTATATAGTCGATTACTACCTCACACCTAAATCATGATGGAACAATACCAAGCGAAATTCACGAAGAACAAATCTATAACAGATACCATTTGCACACTGCGCCAAATACACGAGAAAGTTATAGAGTACAACATCCACATACATCACACATTCCAATTATACAGGGCCCTATTAGAATTCGAAATATTACGGCAGTCGACAAGGTCTTAATAAATTTATAATGAGTAGCTTAACATGCAGAGTGAATATTAGAAGACATATGTCTAGAGATTTTGAGCCTGGCACTTGAGAAGATTGTAGGAAGCTTTGGCATAACAACGTCTGGCGCAATTTTTGAACAGCAGTGTAAATATAACTCCTAGCATAGAGAAAAAGAAAGAGGTGTGTCAGATATTAAGTTATCTTCAGAAAATCAAAACACATATTTCGGCTACTTTCTTGCATTGCTTTCTCGAACTACAAACTATTTTCACTGCACCGCACTACGCCAACTAAAACGGTATGGTTCGTGCCAAACTTTATCGAATGCTTAATACTTGAGAGCTCTAGTAGAAGAGAAACTCAAAGAAAGTCTGAACACTTTATATGAATTCAAAAAGAAGAATGCTGGCATTGAAAGTGTGGCCGAAGTATGAAAAATAAAATTGGAACACCTACAAAGGCAAGAGAAAGAAGAAGTTTTGAAGCAATTGATCTTTATTATTATTGTTTTTATTAATGCTCAAAACTAGCAAAAGATTGTTCAGATTTGTTATATTCAACTTACGTAAAATGACATTCCAAAAGAGCTTCAGCTCTCCTTTTTATTTGGTTTTGGTTAAGTAAACGAAAATTCGTCCAAATTAACAATACATTAGAAATGTTAAGAGATTCCATCAAAAATTGTTCACACTCTTCCAATAAAGTATTTATGAACCACATCCGTGAAATACGTAGTATGTTCTGTAATCAGATTTATTTAATATTATATCATTTTTAAAGCTAAACGATAATTCACAAGATTTAATTAATCGTTTTCATACAAAATTCATATTTATTCTTCATGAAAAATTCTTTAAACTGACTCCAAACATGACCAATCTTGCTATTAAACTTTCCGAGATATTTTTACTTCTATATTTTTATAAAATACAAGATTTAAATGAATTATACATATATGACTCATACATAAATTCACGAAAGTATAATCTTATTACATTTAACTACATATTAACGTGAAAATTACTTAAGAGTACAACAAAATGTTACTTTGTTAGTGACAGATAAATATTCACAATTTAGCATTATGTGTGGCGATTTCAACGCCAAAATGGAAATCAAATCTAACCCCAGAAAAACATCACTGGGAAATTTTAGCTTATTGTAAGAAGCAAAACATTTGACTTATACGTAGTACCTGTTATGACGTACGATGCTGCAACTTTTACCCTGACTGCAATAACTTTTACAGTAGGTACTTGAAACTGCACAGAGAAAAATGAAGGGTTCAATGTATGGTGTTTCGTTTCGTGACCGAATGACTAAGGAGGATGTAGAAAGAAGGACGATCGTTACGGATGTGATTACCAGAGTTGTAGAATTTAAATAGAATTGAGCAGGGCACGTACCTTGTTCGAAGGATGGAAGATGCTCGAGTGAGGACCGAGAATGGACAAGAAAAGACTGACGATGTCAAAAGAATAACAGAAGATGAAGAATAACAAATTGGATACAGAGCGCGGAAGATAGAGAAAAAAGATCCAAAAACGGACAATAATATATTATTAATAGTAATTAAAAGTAATAATAACGGAGAGAAGACCAAAAAACAGTAAATAAAAAATTCCACCAATATTTTTACGTCATAAATGATACTATAAAGAAAATAAAGTTGAATATCACACTTTTCAAGACCCGAACAACAAACCATTGGCAGTAGTAATTAAAAACGTACCCATTTCCTTAACTAATGATGAAATAGAGGATGAATTAAAAAAAACTACCTATCATAAAAGTAACCCGACTTATGAATAAAAATAAACACCCAATACCCTTATGTGCGGTAGAATTGACACCCACTGACAAAGCAAAAGAAATTATTACTATCAATGAAATAGAAAAAGCAATTGTTACTGTAGAACCTCGTAAAAGGCCAACTTACATTCACCAATGTCATAACTGCCAGATATGGAGATATGGACATACCAAAAGCTATTGCACTTTTAAGACCAAGATGTGTCAAATGCGACGAAGAACATTTATATAATGAATGTAAAAAAAATCTTCAATCTCCCAAAATGCGCAAATTGTGGTGAAGCGCACCCATCGAATGACAGAGGTTGTAAAACTCACAAAGTATTACAAGATCAACACTACAGGTGTAATAATCGACGTCAATGAATACTGTCCTAATACTACCTATCCTTCTTACGCAGCAGCTACTGCCAAAGCGCAACTTCCCTCATCAATTACTGCCAATAAACTCCAAAGAAACAACTAGTCACAACATATTGATATATCAAGATACAAAAAAATATATCATATAAAAATATAATATATGAAAAGATAGCCAATCAAGAATAACTGCTGGTGAAGTTGCTATCTGTATTAAAAACCATCTGGTGCATTCGGATTTGATCATAATCGAAACAAAATAAGTTGAAACTATAGCAATTACAGTTCATCTCGTAAACAAAAACTAGATGAATATTATATGTGCATATAAGCAGCCAGAAGATAAAAATAAGAAACCCGATAATCAACATAACAGTACCCTCTGATGTTGACAACAACCTGAGGATTATACAATAAAATAACTACAGCAGCACGCAATAGTAACCTACCAAAACAAATATTAATCCTAATTACAACATTCCTCCTGCTTACATAATTGTAATGATAAACCAAAAAAGATGTACTAGAAGAGAATGGCAGAGAACTCGAGATCCAAAAATTAAGAGAAAACTGGACGAGTTAACATACCAAATCACTGACGAATTGAATCAACATCAAATAGATTCTTACAATAACTTAATCAAAAATCTAGCGACCAATTATCCAGGAATGTGGAAAATAACTAAAAGAATAATCAAAAAAAGGGAACCAATTCCAACACTAATCCATCAAGAGAACACTTTTAGCACAGATGCTGATGAAGCCGTAGGTTTTTCAAACAATCTTGCAAAAATATTCACTCCACAATTTTCAAGAGCGAGTTACACATTCACAAATAAAATTCAACGGTATATAGTAGCTAATTTTCCTGTTAATAAACCCACTATAGATCATACCACCCCTGAAGAACTTCGAATGCTTACCAATAGACTACCTACCAAAAAGCTCCTGGTCAGACCTTAAATATATTAAGCTCCATTTTTAACATCTGCATGAATCTGGGATACTTTCCTAACACCTGGAAAGAAGCTGAAATATTAATGCTTAGGAAACTTGGCAAAAATAAACGTGAAATCTAAAATTACAGACTTATTAATCTGCTTCCTACCATAGGTAAATTCTTTGAGAAACTGATTTTTCAACGTTCCAAAATCACAATATTCCTAATTCATCCTAATATTCAATACGGATTTAAAATTAGTCACTCAACAGTACGTTAACTCACAAGAGTGACGGAAATAATAGAGCGAGGATATGAAAATAAATAATATACAACAGCTGCTTTTCTAGATATAACAAAAGCCTTTCATTAAGTATGGCTATATGGTTTAAAATATAAGATCCTTAAAACTAATATACCTGAATACCTCAAAGCCCTAATTTTCTCATTTCTGGATGATAGAACATTTTACGTCAAAGTTAATGCTTATAAATCCGAATCAAAACCCATCAAGGCTGGAGTTCCTCAAGGCAGCATCCTCTCACCACTGCTATTTAATATCTGTTTACATGACATTCCGATTAATAAAAAAGACCTAAAAGCCTTATTCGCATATGACATGGTTATAGTCACCCAAAACGAAAATCTGGAAACATCCATTCAAGATCTCCAAAACTCGGTTAATGAGATACATAATAAATGGTTATTTACTAGGAAAAATATTTACCCTTAGACAAGTTAAAAATCCTACAACAGTAATAATCGAAGATCACCCTTTAAACTGGAATACGAAAAATAGCGCTATCAAATATCTGGGAGTATGTTTGAACCAAAGACTTACGTGGAAGTACCATATTAATAAAAAATTAAACGAAGCATATCCAAAACTGAAAGAACTTTATTCCATCATCAACAGAAAACCGAAACTGAAGATCGAATGTGCAATGCTACTAGACAAATCATTAATAAGACCAGCTAAATCTAATATTAAAAAAATTCAAGTGCTACAAAATAAAATTCTAAGAATGTCTGTAGATGGTAGCCTCATGGTTTGTGAGAAACTCGCAATATATTAAGAACTAGGGGTCGAGACGATAACAGAACACATTACTAAACCAACCAAAAAGTGTCCAAGTGCACAAGAACGTCAATTGGGAGATATTGGAATCCATAACACGGAGACTTCCCCAAGACATATTTATAGAAGATGACTTAGTAGATAGCGAATAGATTCAGGATGACATTGGTAGTTCCCCCGCTATTATTGTATAACTAATTTCAATTGTTATCAAAGCCATGAAGTAACATTTAATGTTGAACTAGTTGACGCTGTTAATAAAAAAAATAAGAACAGATGTAGAAGAGGCTCAGAAAAATGAGGCATCAGCTGTTAATATTTTACTTCTGTAATAAAATAGTGACTGTATTTTTTTAACTGCCATTTTTTCGAAGACAGCTGAATATTGACATAGGATGTGTATATGAATAATACTCTGAATTTTATGTAGAATCCATAAATGCAACAAAAAATTGTAGAGAAACGCGATNAAAACTAATACAAGACTTGAGTGCCTTAATGACCAGGTCCTCCCCTTAAAGCCACCCTTATACAAATGCCTCAATAACCCATTTCCCCAAAATACCGAGGATCAGTGTACTTAGCCGCACACACTGTTCGCAGATTTTGGGGTCCCTGCGGCAACACCCCACTCCTGTCTACACCCTATCCTTGTATTCCCTATCCTATATTTTTCTATTAATTTAAAAATCCAAATTTTAAATCCCCTTCCCTTATCTTACTATTCAACGCCTGGAAATATTAAACTACAAAATACAAATTATATACATTACATACATTTTTAAAAAATAAATTTTAGAGTTGTTGCCTCACAGACAATTATACTCGCAGAAGGGATTTGTTTCATCTGAACACCCTCTATGTAATTTTATTTATTTTCAACACACTCATAAAAAATGGTTACCTCTTACAATTTCTCAACCATTTTATTTTTGTAACTTTTCATGTAACGTCGTTTTTAATTCTTAAACTTTACATTTACATTTTTAACATGTTTGTTCTATAGTTTTATAAATTAATATTTACAATAATTGTTTTAAATATCACCGTTTTTGACTTATACTTTCATGCGAAGTTTTTTGAACGCCTTTTCTTATATTACGACAAGTAAGTTTATTTCATTTCATATTTGTAACAACTTTTATTATCATTCTTGTTGTCAATTTGTAGCGCTTCTGAAGATGACTAATTAGTCGAAACATGTAAAGCGGATTTACTTATAATAAACCAGTATAAAAGTACAATTAGTGATTTATAAAAATCAAAATTCAATCAAATATTATTNCAAAAACGGACAATAATATATTATTAATAGTAATTAAAAGTAATAATAACGGAGAGAAGACCAAAAAACAGTAAATAAAAAATTCCACCAATATTTTTACGTCATAAATGATACTATAAAGAAAATAAAGTTGAATATCATACTTTTCAAGACCCGAACAACAAACCATTGGCAGTAGTAATTAAAAACGTACCCATTTCCTTAACTAATGATGAAATAGAGGATGAATTAAAAAAAACTACCTATCATAAAAGTAACCCGACTTATGAATAAAAATAAACACCCAATACCCTTATGTGCGGTAGAATTGACACCCACTGACAAAGCAAAAGAAATTATTACTATCAATGAAATAGAAAAAGCAATTGTTACTGTAGAACCTCGTAAAAGGCCAACTTACATTCACCAATATCATAACTGCCAGATATGGACACACCAAAAGCTATTGCACTCTTAAGACCAAGATGTGTCAAATGCGACGAAGAACATTTATATAATGAATGTAAAAAAAATCTTCAATTTCCCAAAATGTGCAAATTGTGGTGAAGCGCACCCATCGAATTACAGAGGTTGTAAAACTCACAAAGTATTACAAGATCAACACTACAGGTGTAATAATCGACGTCAATGAATACTGTCCTAATACTACCTATCCTTCTTACGCAGCAGCTACTGCCAAAGCGCAACTTCCCTCATCAATTACTGCCAATAAACTCCAAAGAAACAACTAGTCACAACATATTGATATATCAAGATACAAAAAAATATATCATATAAAAATATAATATATGAAAAGATAGCCAATCAAGAATAACTGCTGGTGAAGTTGCTATCTGTATTAAAAACCATCTGGTGCATTCGGATTTGATCATAATCGAAACAAAATAAGTTGAAACTATAGCAATTACAGTTCATCTCGTAAACAAAAACAAGATGAATATTATATGTGCATATAAGCAGCCAGAAGATAAAAATAAGAATCCCGATAATCAACATAATAGCACCCTCTGATGTTGACAACAACGCAATAGTAACCTACCAAAACAAATATTAATCCTAATTACAACATTCCTCCTGCTTATACAATTGTAATGATAAAGCAAAAAATGTACTAGAAGAGAATGGCAGAGAACTCGAGATCCAAAAATTAAGAGAAAACTGAACGAGTTAACATACCAAATCACTGACGAATTGAACCAACATCAAATAGATTCTTACAATAACTTAATCAAAAATCTAGCGACCAATTATCCAGGAATGTGGAAAACAACTAAAAGAATAATCAAAAAAAGGGAACCAATTCCAACACTAATCCATCAAGAGAACACTTTTAGCACAGATGCTGATGAAGCCGTAGGTTTTTCAAACAATCTTGCAAAAATATTCACTCCACAATTTTCAAGAGCGAGTTACACATTCACAAATAAAATTCAACGGTATATAGTAGCTAATTTTCCTGTTAATAAACCCACTATAGATCATACCACCCCTGAAGAACTTCGAATGCTTACCAATAGACTACCTACCAAAAAGCTCCTGGTCAGACCTTAAATATATTAAGCTCCATTTTTAACATCTGCATGAATCTGGGATACTTTCCTAACACCTGGAAAGAAGCTGAAATATTAATGCTTAGGAAACTTGGCAAAAATAAACGTGAAATCTAAAATTACAGACTTATTAATCTGCTTCCTACCATAGGTAAATTCTTTGAGAAACTGATTTTTCAACGTTCCAAAATCACAATATTCCTAATTCATCCTAATATTCAATACGGATTTAAAATTAGTCACTCAACAGTACGTTAACTCACAAGAGTGACGGAAATAATAGAGCGAGGATATGAAAATAAATAATATACAACAGCTGCTTTTCTAGATATAACAAAAGCCTTTCATTAAGTATGGCTATATGGTTTAAAATATAAGATCCTTAAAACTAATATACCTGAATACCTCAAAGCCCTAATTTTCTCATTTCTGGATGATAGAACATTTTACGTCAAAGTTAATGCTTATAAATCCGAATCAAAACCCATCAAGGCTGGAGTTCCTCAAGGCAGCATCCTCTCACCACTGCTATTTAATATCTGTTTACATGACATTCCGATTAATAAAAAAGACCTAAAAGCCTTATTCGCACATGACATGGTTATAGTCACCCAAAACGAAAATCTGGAAACATCCATTCAAGATCTCCAAAACTCGGTTAATGAGATACATAATAAATGGTTATTTACTAGGAAAAATATTTACCCTTAGACAAGTTAAAAATCCTACAACAATAATAATCGAAGATCACCCTTTAAACTGGAATACGAAAAATAGCGCTATCAAATATCTGGGAGTATGTTTGAACCAAAGACTTACGTGGAAGTACCATATTAATAAAAAATTAAACGAAGCATATCCAAAACTGAAAGAACTTTATTCCATCATCAACAGAAAACCGAAACTGAAGATCGAATGTGCAATGCTACTAGACAAATCATTAATAAGACCAGCTAAATCTAATATTAAAAAAATTCAAGTGCTACAAAATAAAATTCTAAGAATGTCTGTAGATGGTAGCCTCATGGTTTGTGAGAAACTCGCAATATATTAAGAACTAGGGGTCGAGACGATAACAGAACACATTACTAAACCAACCAAAAAGTGTCCAAGTGCACAAGAACGTCAATTGGGAGATATTGGAATCCATAACACGGAGACTTCCCCAAGACATATTTATAGAAGATGACTTAGTAGATAGCGAATAGATTCAGGATGACATTGGTAGTTCCCCCGCTATTATTGTATAACTAATTTCAATTGTTATCAAAGCCATGAAGTAACATTTAATGTTGAACTAGTTGACGCTGTTAATAAAAAAAATAAGAACAGATGTAGAAGAGGCTCAGAAAAATGAGGCATCAGCTGTTAATATTTTACTTCTGTAATAAAATAGTGACTGTATTTTTTTAACTGCCATTTTTTCGAAGACAGCTGAATATTGACATCGGATGTGTATATGAATAATACTCTGAATTTTATGTAGAATCCATAAATGCAACAAAAAATTGTAGAGAAACGCGAGATCAAAAAAAAAGAATGTATTAAAAACCTATCAGTTGGCATCGTCCTCGTAGCAATGTACTAAAGCTGACCTGAAAATCAAACATGAAACCCTTGTTGCTTTTGTCGAAAAAAGGACACAGTGGGATGTCAATAACGCAAAGTCAGCGACGGTTGACAATTTGATCGGCGAAATGATTGCGTTGGAAGACTTACCGTTTAGTTTTGTAGAATGCCTTGGCTTTGTGAGACTGATGAAAGAACTTTGTCCGTCCTATAACTTGAAAAGTCGACAATATTTTACTTCGTACATTTGTGAAAAATTGTATGGAAAAGTTAAGGAAAAAATCCTCGATTTAACAAAATCGTTTGAAAAAATATCGTTTACCACCGATATCTGGTCCGATTCCGCCTCTGAGGTGTCACTGCTGAGTTTCACTTGTCATGGGGTTACGGAGAATTTTGAAAGAAAAGTTGAAGTGCTAAAATCAGAAGTATTTGGTGAGAGCCGACATACTGGAGAAAATGTTGCTGCAAAAATTGAAAGTATTTTGACAAAATGGCAAATACCTAAAGAAAAAGTATAGTGCATTGTCAGGGATGCTGGCGCTAACATAAAAAAAGGTATTTCATTATTACTTGTCCAGCATATTGCCTGCTCTTCTCACCAAATACAACTGGTCGAGAAACAGGGACTTAAGACACAAGAAACCGTTGTTACAGTGCTAATAAAGTGTAAAAAGATGACAACACATTTTCATCAATCTAATACAGCGCAAGATGAACTTTAAACCCTACAACAAAGACTTGAAACTTAAGATTCTTCAAGAATGCAATACCAGGTGGAACAGCACCTTTTATATGTTAGAGCGCATTTTGAAAAACATAGATTCATTGTGTCTTTATGCGTCAAGTAACAATAAAATACCACAATTAACTTTAGAGGAGTAGATAATTGTGGAACTACTTATTTGCTTACTCAAGCCATTTGAGGAAATAACAAAACAGCTAAGTGCAAGTAGTGTTTCCATTTCTTCGGTGATTCCATTAATTGCCACTTTGAATTGCCAGACGAGCATATTGGAGACACGATTAACGTTTTAAAACGAGAACTCATTCGAAGATTTTCACATTTAGAAGCTGAGCTTTTGTTTTCAACGGCAGCATTCATTGATGCAAGATACATAACAAAATTTTTCAAAATAAATTCAATCCAAGAGCACATAACCAATCACATTGCGGATTCAATTGCAGACCACGAAATAACTGCACCCTTTAGATTAAGTGGCCCCAAAGCAAAGCGCTCCAGATTGACTGATGGAGTCGAAAACTTAGGACCCAGTGCATTTCAGTCAATAAGACAGGCATCTCTTAGAGACACCATGATTTTCCTAATGGATTCTTCCAGTGAAAGTAAAGGAGAAAGCGAAATCACTAGTGATCAATCTCCGCCTGCTAATGCCTTACACCTATTGGTCAGAAAAACTATCACGGAATATTTTATTTCACGGGCTTATTTACACATCACATCGAAATAGACTACAAGGAGAAAAGGCGTCAAAGCTTTTATTTTTAAAATATAATATTTCTCTTCTTCAATTTAAATATTAACTTTTTTGGATATATTAAAAATATTCGTATGTTTTTCGCGAATGCGAAAGCGAATGTTGAAAAATATGCGAATATTCGCGAATGCTTATATTCATTTCAAATATTTCCACTAAAGATTAACCGAAAAATAAGTAGTTTAGGCAACTAAATATACAGAGAAAAACGCTTAACTTTGGATCAAGTTAATCCATCATAAATTAAAACCACAACAATAAATTGACTCTGCGAATATCTTCATACAACAGATTACTATCAATAGAATGTAGGATCTCCAATAAACATTACCTATTGTAAATACTTTTCCAACTGCTGCATTTGTGCCAAGGTACGACAATATGATGACCAGTTTCAGGTTGATATAATATTAATCCCGGATTAATATTATAAGGGCTGGAAATATATCCCCAGCAATGTTAAGAGACGAAATGAATAACCTATTTACTTGATTGATACCATTGTGCACATTGAGAAAGATGCATAAAACGTTAACCTAATTTGATGTGTTACAAGTTGTAAGTAAAATTATGTTGAATAGCTTAATAGCAAGATAAATTATCTTTGGATGTTTTGGTACTTACAAAAACGTTATCTATCGTTATTTCGATTGATGAGCCGTATATGTAGTTAACTACTTGATTCGCTGCTTCAGCATTTATTTCTGATAATTTAATCGTCGCTTGTTGAGATTCTTTAAAGTCTCCTGTTAATAATGTTTTCATAAATTCCGAACAAGCAGCTAGCACAACTTTGTGCGCATGTATTTGGACACCATCCACAACTAAAGTTACGTCGCATAATTTACTACTACAAGCAGTGATAAACAAATTTTATTTACTTATTTGAATTACAGGGTAAGGTCCACTTTTACCATCTTCCTGATAAACTATCTAAGAGGTAATTACCATGGTTACAGTGGTTTTAAGCGCTCTCATTGGCTAACAGCGCCAATTTATCTATCGGATAAATTTATCAAGAGGTGGTAAAAGTGAGCCTTAGTCTTTCATTAACACTTACTCTCTCATTGCAGACAATCTCTGAAATATTTCAACTACGACCTTTTGTTTTTGGTATATCTTTTGTGATTTCATGTTGTTAATTCAAAGTTAACAAATACACACATGCAAATTAGGGGAATCCCGGAGAGTATACTAAGGCACAAAATAACCTGAAAGGAGACAAGGTGTATCCCGCCAAAACTCATTTTTCTGCGTTTGCGCGGCAACGCCATCTTATCGGTTAGTTACAGAGTACATTAATAGTAATGAAGTAATCTGTGCGGTTAGTGTTATTGTGGTGATTGTTTACTAATCCTTTTAACTTAACTTCACATAAATTTTTCTAAATTGTTAAATTGCGGTTTTTAAAACGCTTTTTGCGACACTTGTTTGATGTTGTAGCAACATGAGATTTTATTAAAAAATTAATTTTTTTTATAAGACTATGAAATTCAAAGGGTTAAGCCAGTTCTATGAAATGTATAAAATTAAGAAAAATATAACAATCAATAATTTACAATCTTACGGAAGCTTATTTAATTAATTTATAACAGCGATATAGAATTTTTTTTATTAAATTAATTATTCGGAACTATTTGACATTAATAGTTTTATAAACTAATTGAAACGATGAAAAAATAATTAAACTAAAACTAGCACTATCCCTAGAACTAGAGGCACTTCATGCCGCTAAGAGAGAAATAGCAAATTAAGTGGTAAAATAAAAATTTTTTGATTTCAAAACATCAATATAGATTTATTTTAACAAAAACATGTGTTAAAACAAAAACGAAAATGCAATAATAAAAAAATCTGTCTTCTTCCATTTGATAATGGACACAATAATTATTGAAAGAGTTTTCCATGTTGCAAGATTAACGATCAAATAAAAACGATGCAACTTCTAACTTGCATTTATTTATATAAAGTCGTACTAGTTTCGGGTTACCCGACAAGGTCAATGAAGTTATAATAGGTGTAGACTGGAAATCAATTATTGAAAGTAAAGCATTTTGCTATCTGATGGATAAACAAAATGAGGATGAAAAATGAATTAATATTGATTCTTCAGAAGTCATCATATGAGAATATTTATTATGGATTAATAATTAAACCACACTATCACACTTTAACGTTCTTTTATATATTTATATAGTATTTTATAATAAATATTTTATTAAAACTGAGTAAGTGAAGTGAATAACATATGGCGAAAACTGGCGAAAAAGTTAAGTATGTATAACTTACCACGAATTCCAAGTGAGATGAAAATTTGATGGCTGGTCTTGGCCAATAGTTTCTGTCTTTTATAAAAAGAAACTTCGGCTTATTAATTCATGTAACGCAAGCAACAAGTAGTGCGAGGGCGACCAGCTTTAATAAAATCAATGTTGCTGTAAGTTATTAGAGCAGAAAACGATATCGCGGATATCATGGATGAGGTGGCAAAACTCCATATTCTTCCATTCCTTCATTAGTTAGAAGAACCACTTCTCCAGTAGGAAAATGCCTATAATCATAGCAAGACTATGGGCTGATTTGCAGAGGATATTGTTGTTGTTGACGCCACATCCTAGTTACAGGTTGCTCTGGACATAACTCTGAAGAGAAAATGAAGCATCTGCTAGAATAGTTACCACCAACCCATTAAATTATTAAGTAAATTTTTATTAAAACCAATTATTAAGTAAATATAAAATAATATATAAAGTAGTGTACTAAGTATTAATGAACTTCGAATAATTAAACATTTTCGCCAAGTATGATCAAAAAATTCCTTCCATTTCAGAAGAGCCATAATACGTAAATAATATCCATCAAAAGCTAAGACGAAGACCTACCCTATGTATGAACACACTGCGCATTTATGGAAAAAGTAAGTACAAATGCGATTATTAGGTACGATTCAATACGATTATTAGACTCTTGATGCAATAATGACGTTTTTGGAAAAATTATCTGTCTAGAAAGAAAATAAACCAACGAAGATATTTTTAATTATCGCAATATAACACGCGTTTTTATAAAAACTGTGTTTTTCAAAGCGGTGGCCACAATATCTCGAAATCTACAGAACAATTTTTTAATTTGAACAACTCATTTAGCATTGATATAGAGCACTTTGCAAACTAGGATCATTTTGATTCATCAAGCAAATTTCTTTTTTTTATGGTGAGGAAGTCGTAAAAAACTATTAAAAAAAATGTTTAAAATAATTCCAGAATGTAGCGTTCGAAGGTCAAGCAATGCGGATAATTTATCCGAATCTGCTACTAACAATCGCACAATCCTCCATCTCGGGAGTAATTTTCGAAAAATCTTAAGGCAAAAAACCCAAAATTTCAAGTAATAATATTCCAAAATGTGTTGTCAAGCTTAATAATGCCCGATGTATGGAAACTTTCGGTTCTGGCGAATTACAAAGAAGGCCAGTTTGATAACCAGTCCGAAATTTATATCAGTCTCAACAAAATTCAAAAAAAAAATTATGATCGCCTATTGCGCAGCTCGTTATTGTATCAAACCGCATTTTGGGATTCGAAAGCGGTTAAAAAAAATAAAACGCAATACAGGCAGAACTTTGTAATTTAATTACGAAGTTGCGTCTTGAGAACCGAGGGTCCAGACTAAATACTACGTAGGCGGTTCTGGCAGGAATGTGCCGAGGTGGCAGTTAGAGTAGATGGAGCAGGGAAGAAATGAAGAAAAAATCGGGGAGTCGGTTACGGGATTGGAACAGAAAAGCATCGGGCGAAACCGGGAAATTAAAGTTTTTGTTGTGTTTTTAAATTCGAGTCGTGCGATTTGAACTTATAGCAATTTAGTTATAAAATTCGTTGAATTGGATTCTCTTTCTTCGATGAATATTTTACTTTAACAAACGGGTAAGCGTTATTAAAATCTTAAACTTCCGATTTCTCATTGAACCTGCTAACCACCTCGGCAAATTCCGTAATGATGTTGTTGAATAGCTTATGTCATGTAATTTTTACTTTTTAAAATCTTTGTCAGTTGTTTTTTTTTATATATATAATATAATACGTTCTTGTTCAAAAATAAAGCAAACTTATTCTTTAGCAGTGAAATTTCGTTTTCTTTCAATCTATTTTTATTCTTAATTTCAAATTACTGCCGTTCGCTTTCAAGTGAACGAATGCAGTGTGCCAAACACTAACTTAGTCATTGCTAGCTATCAAGAAAACGGTAGTGCGTGGACAGTTGGGTACGCGAGTCGCTCCGTGGACCTAGCTAGGAAACCCACTACGGGAAACGAGAAGTTCTCGAGAGCTAGTTTGTGACATTACACTTTGCGAGCTAAATATAATATAACATTGAAGTAAACTTTCTCTACAGAAAAACAAACAACCAAGCAAAACATCTCAACAAATTGAAATGTAGCATTAACCAGAGGGTAGCCAGAGGGCGAGCGCGCCAGAAGGTTGATTCCATTTTCATGTGATATTATAAATATGGTTAGTCACAACTCGCAACCCACTGGGCACCCGTCTGTGTGATAGCAAGACCTTCTATACTTGGATCCAATAAACCGTTCGACATAGTCCGGAAGTTGGTGAAATCGATAAGAAATTCTAATCGAAATATAACAACCGATAATTACTATACTAGCTATCCTTTGCTGTTTATTTTCAGGAAAATGGTCTTACGTTGATTGGTATGATGAAGAAAAACAAAAAAGAAATTCCTCCTGAGTTTCTTCCAAATAAATCGCGTACTGTGGGAACTACTCTATTTGGGTTACAAGAAGATACGACCATTATTTCCTGAGCACCAACAAAAAAAAGCTGTAATTTTACTTTCTACAATGAACGACACAGGTGAAGTTGACAAAGAAACAAACAAACCAGAATTAATCTTATTATACAATAGCACAAAAAGTGATGTAGGTACTGTTGAGCAGTGTGCGTTTTATACTATTCAAACAGTTACCAGAAGATGGCCTCTTGCATTTTTTTTTTCGAATCTTAGATATTGCAGGAATAAATTCTGAAATTATATTCAATAATACAAAACCACTAAAGAAACCCCCTAGGCGATGGAAATTTTTAAATGAACTAGGGTTGACTCTTATGGAAGAACATATGAAAGCACGAGCCAAAATTCAGATACTTCCGAAAGATTTGGTAGAATTTCTTTCCCAATATCGAGAGATACCAGAAGTACCCTTAGCAGTAAACCAAAATTGAAGTGGCAGGTGCCAACTTTGTAATGCAAATAAAAATAATAAAAGTACAGTTACTTGTAGTAGATATCATCAATTTGTTTGCAAAAATCACTCTAAAAAGACTGTGCTTTACGATACTTGTTGCCAAAGGGAAGAAGACTGTTTTTTTTTGTTAGCGCATTTTTCATTTTTCACGTTTTTGCAAAAATAAATGTTTAATGTTTTGTTGTTAATAAATGTTTAATGTTTTATTATTAATACATGTTTAATTTTTCACTTATTTTGCCATTGTCCCTGGCAATAATTATTGTAAATAAAAACCATGTATTAACTTGCATTTATTTATATAAATTCGTACTAGTTTCGGGTTATCCCATCATCAGCGACAAAGTCAATGAAGCTATAATAGGTGTAGACTGGAAATCAATTGAAAGTAAAACATTTTGCTATCTGATGGATAAACAAAATGAGGATGAAAAATGAATTAAGAATGGTGTCGTTAAAAAGTGTGGAATGCTAAAAAATCAGAAATTGTAATAAAATTTTAAGATGGTATTAAAGATGTGTTGGTGGGATGAGATGAGGCGAGTCTCGCCTTAATTACTTGTTTGCTTATTACTATCAAAAACAAACAGAATATGAAACAGATATCAAACGTATTAAATGTTTTTTACGAAAAAAATTAAATTTATTTAAAATTTATGTTATTATAATTCAAGATAACCTCGAATTATTAAATTTAATAACACTTCTTTATGAGATATTGTCCGTCACTCTAATGTTTTTAAAAACAGGAAGAACTATAAGGATCTGAAGTTCACAACCATAATATCAGCACAAACATTAGAACGGACAATTTCTGAAACATGTAAAGCAATTAATATGGTTTTAAGAGACTATGTAAAGGTAATTTCTTCAGACTGAAATCCTGAAATGGTTGGAGAATAATATCTGAAGGTTTTATTTAACCTTCAAATAGTAGACCGTATTTTTTTATTTATAATAACTTTTTCAGTTCAGTGTGATTGGCTATTGCTGATGCAATAGCCAATCGCATAACCGGATTTATAAACTGCAAAATTAACATATTCCATATTCTTCTTTTGTTAATGGAAACAACACAATTAAGCTACCTTTTGCTTTTATTGGCGACGAGGCATTTTCTTTACGAACTGATTTTTTTAAGTGCCATAGCGTGACTGTCCATGTACGTTTCTTTGATGCGACCGTCGGAGTTTTCGGTACTCTATTAAGCCTCAAATAAACTAACATTTATTAGTTTTTCAGCAAATAATTTCATATCAAGAGCAACGTTTCTTAATTTTTCAGCGACTTTTCTGCCAATATCAAATTCATCTTCTTCTGGTTTGTTAAGCTTTTCAGTTACTAAAGTTATCAGCGATCCCATATTTTCATTTTGATTTGCTTTTTTTCTTCTTTCAACGGAAGATATTGAGACTATATTAATACTTTATGAATTATTGCATCTTGGTAGTCAGCGTTGAATTTGATTTGTCCTAAAAAAAGGAATATTAATACCTTCATACAAGGTGTCGCAAAAAGAATTACCCGATTTTCTTTTGATGTAATTCCAAAAATAATTAAAAAATGATTTTTTTTACCAGACACAATTAATTTCATTTTTTAGAGTTAATGCAATTTTCGCGTTTCTATGGCATTTTTTTATCACATTCGTTAAGATTTCCGGCATTAGATTGTGGACGTAAGGATCTGGAGAATCTGTGCTTTGTCACTTGCTAGCTGTGTGTGTAGGGGCCACAAAATACCTCTCGGCATTTAGATATGTAATTAAAGAAGTAATATGGTATTACAACTGTGCCCAATAACAGTTTTAAGGAAAAAAATTTGCTGACACAAAACAAAATATTTAAAATGAAAATTAATAATGTTAACTACAATCTGCAGTTTATGAATGAAACAAAATTCAATACACCATCTGTTAACTTCATTAACTTAACAATTAAAAAAACCTACACCAATTAAACTTACTTTTAGATGTCACAATCATCAACTACACCACTCGGCGGATTACGCAATGCTTTAAATCGTGTTTAAACTTGCAAGGCGCATTGTTTTTTAACGACCCTTTCACCATATTCTCGTTATAACAACCGTACCGTGTTATAATTGTATCCAGTCAACCCTGTAGAAGTCTTTTCTGAATTATTTAGGGTAGCTTCAGGTTGCAATACTTTCAGATTCTTGAGAAAAATAAAGGTTTCAGAGTATATTAGATTCAAAAAATGATTTCTGATCGCTGAAATGAGAATCTTAATCAGATTAACAAAGAAATGAAATGAAATGATTTTATTTCAATCGTTTATTCATAAAAACCATAATTATAAAATTACACAGATAATTGTTTTCGATCGTCACATATTCATTTTAAACTATTTCATTTTAAATATAACACTAAAACGAACGAACGGTATTTTTTTATCGAATTGAGATATGTTTAAAATATAATATTTACTTTGTTAATAATAAATAGATCCCGTTTGTATGTTTTTGTGGAGGTACAAAGTTTTTTATTATTTATTTTTGTATATTAAAATATGTATGTTCTTTTTGAGATATGGTATTTAATATGTATTCATATACGTTTTCATACCAAAAATTATAATTGAATCATTAAAAAAAGATTTAAAATATCTATAAGATAACAATAAAATTGCTATAATAAAGATTCTACAATTTTAAAGAAATCTTTTTTGTTATTTAAAAAATTCTTGATATACTAAATACATTGCTATGTTTTTTTAACGTTATAAAAAAGTTACAATTATTACAAAAAAATTAATCATTTTATCATAATACTTTTTCATTCCTCAAGTAGTCCTCTTATAGTAATAAAATCGGTAACATCTCTTAATAAATTAAGTTTATAAATTTATAAGTGTTGTAATAGTAGATATAAATACAATGTTGATTATTTATTTTTTAACTTTACACAATTTAATTTTTTTTACGTTTTTATTTACGCCGGACATGTTCACAGATAAAATATTGCTATTCCAAACACATTTCTTTACAGACTTGAGCATCTACAAATTTTTATGCTATTTTAATATATTATTTTATAATATACTCTTTTTTCTTGATTTTATGGATATTTACAATAAGTTATACAACCGTTTTATTACAAGGCTCTTATTTTTTTTGCTCATTTTTAATTAATTTTATTTTAAAATAGATGATTGTACATTGATAGTTATGCAAGAATATTTCTCTTTAAAATGGCAATTTGAGATAGAAATTGCTGCTGTTTAAGACTTTAGAAGCTATGATTAGTTTAAAGATAGGAGTGCTTCTTTAAAATTATCATGATAATTCAAAAGAATCAATTAATTTTCTAAGACTATCACTTTTTTTTTGATTTAAGCGTTTTCTTTATTTTGTTATTTATGTGTATTGAGAAAGTGAAAAATTTTAAAGAATCACATTGTTAACTTGGCATTATTGAAAAAAGTTGCAATATAAAAAGCCAAGAAAAACGAGACATGTTTATAAAAATACCAATATTTAATTGAGGTATATTAAAAAAGATAATTCAAATGATATTTTTAAAAACATGCTTTAAAAAAAGAACATTCATTAATTGATTAATAAAATTGAAAAATTTCCTACTACTCTTGTTTTTAAATTATTATTTAATTAACATTTCCTATGTGACTAGCTGCTTTAAAAATATTGTCAATTCCAAAACGACGTCAATAAACTGTTTATATTTCGTGGAAGTCATTGCGTTTTTAAAATCACACACATAATAATTTCAAGTTTTGTTCCCAAGATTCTCTTCATGTTTTCTTTTAACAACTAATTTTTTTTATTAAAAGTTTTTTATTACTCATCATGCATGCGATAATAGCCAAATAGTAATATACACTTTGTTTACTAAATTTATGGCTTAGCCACTACATATATATATTTTTTTCATTTTTATTTGTTATATTTAAGACGATTAAACATCTTAATCTTTTTCTTATACCAATTCTATATATTATGTCATATCGTATAAATACTTCCATTTCTAGAATGTCTACTGATAAGTTACTTTTTTATTTAGCTATTTTGGTGTTCTTGTTTATATAGCCCTATTTAGCGTATATATTAGTAAAATATTCGATGACTTTAATTTTTTTGTTCGTTTTTTAACACATCGTTTCAGATTGCATGTGTAAACTACTGTTGCTCTCTGCCTTTTGTAGCTGTTGTTCGAATTGTATTGGTAACTGTGAAGAATCTATTACTATTGATGGTCTTTGAGGCATCTGTTTATCCACTAATGGCACCATATCGCTTGTAAGTGTTGATTCGGTTGATTCTTGTCGTGATTGTTGGATGTTCTGAAAAATGAAGAACATTTAATTAGTTTAGGAATAAAAAGACGGATATAAATCAATAATTTTTGCTTCATTTGAGACGACAAATGAAAACGAAACGATTGACGATGCTATCGTAAAATTACAATTACAACAACTACAATCGCTATTGGATCCTTTTTTCAATTGGATGTTTTATAAACTGTAAAAATTACAGACCGAAATTTCGGTTTTGGCCTAAAATTTTCTGTTTAGGTCAAAAATCGAGCGAAACATAGGCAAGAACCAAAACTTCGTTCGTCGACTAGAAACGTAGACTTAGAGCCTTTAAGAACCCGATTTGGAATTTTTAGGACAAAAGTAATGCTGACTTGTCTAAAGCCATATGTAAATTTAGGAAATATCTTTATTCTTTGGGCAGTAATGAACCAAAAAAGAAAAAGAAACTGTACATGGATTGAGGCAACATTTCTCCAAATTTTACAATTCAAAGTATTGACAAGTTTTAAAATGACAATTACAGAAGAACGGGAAGAAAAATAAAGTTAAGTTAAAAAGAAAACAAACAATGATAATTATGTGTATATCACATCTCGTACAATTTCGCTTAACAGATATAAGAAAAAGAATGACAAAAAAGGGTAATGGGCAGATGATCATGCAATTGCTCAGAGAATCGATAAGGCCATTATGGACTTAGTAACTGTCGACATAGTGCCATACTCGCAGTGGAAAGTACTGATTATAGACGTTTTTATTTAGCAGATCCAAACGCTAATTTTAAACACAGCTTTAAATCTGAAGAATATTTCCACACGCACTACGTAATGCCCCAACATTAAAAAACATGAGATAACAAGCTATTGAAGCTATTGATAAATTCGTTCCAAAAGTTCAAAAACGGATGAGAGGTTGTCCAATGTGGCTTTCACCTGGCGCTAGGCAGGTGATTGAAGAGAAAAGGAAGGCGCATAGGATGTGGAAGCGTTATGGCGACCGCATTGATTATCTCACCTTTTCCCATCTGAGAGGCGGGCAAAATTTCTTATTGATCGAGATTACAAGAATTACACTTTGAGACGAAGATTGCTTCAAATCCAAGTTTTTTTTTGGTCATTCGTTAAGCATCGAAAAGGGGGGAATGATATTCCTGTCACTGTCACTCACAACGGTGTTGTTGCCACCGATGCTCGGTCTGTTTGTTCGCTATTTGCCTCTTACTTTCACTCTGCCTTTAAGCCTACTCAGACGAGTTGTATCTAACAACCACCTTAATCTTGATCGAGATTGCGCGATATGCTTTGAACGTTCGGAGGTTGAGGAGGCTTTGAGAGGAATTGATCCATCGAAGGGACCAGGAGCGGACGGTATTCCTGCCATCATAATTAAAAATTGCTGTGAGTCACTTTCTTTTTCTTTAACTGTTATATATAACCGGTCGATTTGATCTGAAGTTTTTCCACGTGTTTGGAAGGAGGCTCATGTAATCCCTATCTTTAAATCCGGAAATCGTGGTGAGGTATCTAATTATAGACCTATTTCGTTATTGCCATTATTTAGTAAAATACTTGAAAAGCTTATTTATAGAAGACTTTTTTTCATTATGAAAAGTAAAATCGACTATAGACAGCACGACTTTTTTGCAGGTCGCTCGGTCGAGAGCAACTTGTTGGAATACACCCATTATATTTTAAACTCTATGGATGATTCCTTTCAGGTTGACTCCATTTATACTGATTTTAGTAAGGCTTTCGATCAAGTCGATCATGCTCTGCTTCTTTCAAAACTTCGTATGTTTGATATTGACGAACATCATGTGCGTTGGTTTGCCTCCTATACACGTGGAAGAACTCTAAAGGTGAATATCAAGGGTCATTTTTCGGACAGCATGTTTGTTACCTCCGGTGTACCGCAAGGGAGTCACTTAGGACCTCTTCTATTTAATATTTATATCAATGATATTTTTTCAATAATTAAACACTCTCATTGCTTGATGTATGCTGACAATTTAAAAATTTTTACACGAGTTTCTTCACCTTTGGATTGACGAGGCTACAGCGCGACATTGATGCGCTACGTATTTATTGCAGCTCAAATTTCTTGACACTAAACCCTGAAAAATGTAATGTTATTTCTTTTACAAGGAAGGCAGGCACGATCAGATACGATTATAGCCTAGGTGATGATACCATACCTAAAGTGACTCAGATCAGGGATTTGGGCGTCACAGAACCCAGATGATTCTGCGTTTGCGTTTTAAGCTTTTGCAGCTTCGTTTGGAATCCCCAATATCAAACATATATATCCAGAATTGAAAGGATTCAAAAGAAATTCCTAAAGTATTTATGTTTTAAAAGCAACATCGTTTACATTGATTACGTATCTGCCTGTGCCTCCTTCAACTTCTTATCGCTCCGTCAACGTCGTTCATGTGGTGATGCTTTAACATTCCATAAAATCATTAATGGTAGTATTGATTCTCCTAGCCTTCTTGAGGTCGTTAATTTTCGTGTTCCTCCCCGGTGTCTTCGGCTCGATTATTTATTTTACATGCCTAATCCACGTACGAATATCTTTCAGAACTCTCCCATGTTGAGAATGGCGCGCACATGCGACCATTTACATCGTGGCGCGGGGGTTAAAGCTGATCACAATAATTAGTTTATATATAAGTAAATTCTATATGTTTTGATCGTTTATATTTTCTATTGTTATCTTTGAGACACGGTGCCTTGGGTTCGTCCTGTTTCCGTGTCCAACTGTATACGTAATAAATAAATAAATAAACAAAGTGAAGGAATAATTCTCCGAAAAAAAGCTAATCAGCGTTAATTAAAATCTTTAAATGTTATATAAATGAACTATGCCTCCAAAGATATGCTATATAGGTCTTGGAATGCAAACCCATATCCTCCACTACAAAAGGCTGTTCTAAAATACTTCTCAGCATCACCGACGAGCGTAGCTAATGAAGAACTCTTTAGTGCTCAAGATTAGTTACATATGTCTTTTACTTTGTGATGAATACAGTATTATTAAAATCCTTGGATTTCGCCTTTTATTTGCCCATAAAAAAACCCGTATGGAACTACTATGATAAATAAGTGCACAAGGATCCATTGAGAGCCATTTGCAGAATATGTAATAAATCCTCTTCATTGGGAAGTCAAGAACCAAAAAAATATGATGAATACAGGCAAGTCTTAAAACGACAATCAGAAACAGACGAAAATAAACGAATGAATAAACCTGAATAGTATTCAATGCAAATAAGCAACAATACACAGAAAATTGTACAATCAAAAATACCTGACTTAATGACGAAAGGTATGCGATCAGTACGACCAGACGATCACGAAGTAACCCAAATGGACATATTTTCATGGATGTTATTTGGCATACACAGTAGTGATAAGAGAGTTGCTGTTCATAGATACAATTTGAAAAGTGAGATATAATTAAGAACTTCATGATAATTATCATAATGCCAAAAAGATATAACAAAGATCAGTAAAATCTGTTCTTTGTTAAGTTTGACAGGGCTTTTATTGTAGACTCCCAAAGAGTGAAAGTAATATTGGGCGAATAGTACTAGATCAAGACCATACCGAAGCATACATTGAAGACTAAATAACTGATATGGTAAAGGACTGTTTTTGCCAAAGCGAGCAGGAATGACTAGGAGCATATCAGAAACCAACAAACGTGCTAAAATATTTTTATGAAGCCACACACGGTATATCGTGTGATGAATCATGAATTTCAATTATCATACTACTATTACCACGGTTAAACCGCAGACATTACATTTAAAACAAAACTGCATTAATTTTTAAATAAATGATTATGTGAAGTAAATGTGAATGAATTATCCTTATAATCTTATCTTGAATTATCTTGTCATTCGTAAATGATCTTGTAACATCAACGTTACTTGATCCAAAATTTAAATTCAAATACCTGACATCTACAAATATCGACCTTGCCATGAACGAAATGAAAAATTTTTTAGCCGCCTGTTGCAGTAAAAAAATCAATGAAAAGCTTGTTTCCTGTACTATGTACAAGTTTCAAAACTTTTGACCTTGTTTCTGAACAAATGTTTTAATAAACGCACAGATTATTAAAACATTTAATTATTAAACCTATTATTAACTGAACCCAACTGATCAATATTGGTGAAAACAATTTATACTTTTTTATACATCGGTAGTTGGGGTATCAACTCTTGGGGTATAATTCTGGCCACCATATCATGTTGTTTGGTACTAGAAGCTTGCTATAATACTTCCAGTAAGATGATGTATGGTTTTGATCTCTTTTTTAGATTCTCTTCCGGTAATATTTCCTTGGAAATATTTGATCCTAAGCTGCCACTATCAGGCCTTTGGTTTCTGAAAAGGTTAATCTTCTTTTAGCTATAGTAGTAAGTTTTTTGTCTATATCTGGTTATTCTTAGATTGTTGATATCTTCCATGCAATGTCTTCGAAGTTTTTTTTCCGTTAGTCTTGTTTCACCTGCCATTGTAATAAGTCTTTTGGCTTGCATTCTTGGTAAATTAATTGAAGTTGAATATTTAAATATTTGATGATTCGTTTGTATTGATGTTGTATGATTCTCCTCTTCTTCTTGTGTTGCTTAACTTTTCATTTCGTTCACATTTTCACATTTCACATTCACATTTTCGATAATACAAGGCCAATACGCACTCAATACATCACCCTGATAGATCTTTTAAAGTACGTTGTGTATTATGAAATATCTGTAATGTGTCTTGATTTTCAAAGTGGTCTTTCATGATTTTAATGATGTTCATCATACTTTGATGTATACAAATGTCAGTTTTAAACGCCACGAATGTGGCACTCTGTTACGTCACAACGTATTATAAATAATTATTCCCTACATCTATGGACTCTTCTTATACATCAGCACTACTTGTGGCTAATAATTGAGTTACTTTCAAAACGATTGCAAATTTTATTGTTTATTTCAGAGGAGGATGGAGATTGTTGAGTTGGTTATGTCATCTAGTTCCTTTGATGTTCGTATACTTCGGTTTTCTTTTTTCCGTTATTTTTAATGCGATGGGAGCTAATTTTAAATTTGACAACTAAAATGTAATGTGCAACCTGCAAGATTTGGTGATTGGTGATGTTTATTTTAATTTAGCCTATCAAGTCTGTTTAAGAACAAACTTTACTGAATATAAAATACTAATGATTCGTTGTTTGCATTAAAAACAACTCATATGCATTGCAGCTTTTCGTCTTTCACTTTGAATTAGTTGTTGACGTGATGTCAGAAATGTTACGTTTTACCCAGTTAGTTTTACCAGTTCATTTACGCCGATTTTCCACCACTCTGTGAACCTCAAAATCAGTCTCCAACGCTGTGAATGCATCAGCATCCGAAGGATCTTTTTCAATTTCACTGCTGTCCTGATCTTCAGAGACTTCAACTGAGGTAACAATATCGTTGTCATCGAGGATTTCATAGCCCAGATTATTTTTGAGTATCCGATCACTTCACAGCATTAATACAGTTTTGTCACCTCTTTTATAGTTTCAAATGTTTCTGCTTTAATTTCTTTGTTATCAGGCCAAAGCTTGCTCCATCCCTTTTTTAGGTTTTCTAGAGTGAGTGGGTCCCATCAATTGGTTAGCATGTAGGACGAATTTCAAGTTTATTTTTTTGGAAAACTAACAACGCCTCTTCATTATCTTTAGCTGAACAAAACCTACGGAGCATTCTCTTGAATTTTTCTACGACACCTTAAAAAACGGTTGCGTTGGAGCTGGAAGCTGATTTACATTTTTGAAACACCGCTAGCGTTTGCACAATAACAGCTGTAATTTACCCCTTACTTAATTAAACCTGAAACAAGCTAAGGATTTTTGATTCTCTAGCAAAGCCACTTTTGCATACAAAATTCAAAAATTTGATTTTGAAAGATTCTTCGGCAGAATTGCTCGAAGATAAACCTCCCCTTGAATAATCCATTGTTTTGTCTTGAAACTTTTGAACTTCTGACATCTACCAAAGGTGCTAGTGACTTGTGTTTTGCAGTCTTTTCATCTTCGTTTAGATGAATAGACAATTTTTATAGTAGCAATTTTTTGAAAGTACCTGAATTGTATGCAATTCAGGTTGGATTATAGTCCTTGGCATGTTAATATTGTTAATTTACCATAATGAGTAAAGCAGAATTTTTTATAAATCTAATGAAGCAATGTCTTTGCTTCACTTCATTCAAGAGAACAACGTTGAAGGAACCAAAGAAATCATTTTACATTAAAAAAAGTGACCAAGAAATTTGAATATAAAAACTTACCTCAGTATTGGTTCCAATTTGAATAGCCGTAAGATGCGTACAATCTGTATCATTCGAAGTTGAAGCATCATTGAACGAATAATCCAGGGAACATTCAATTGTCGGAGTTGGAACATCATCTTCGATAGCACTAGCCCTCCTCAAAATCCTCCCCATAGCATTCCTATACTCCTTAGATTCTTGAACAACACTCAAAAACGCAGGACTTTTATTCCTTATCGCTTCTATCTTTTCTTTCTCTTCCGTTTCAAGTTCTTCTTCGTACCTCCTTTGAATCAAATTTTCCATCAACATATAATCGCTTTCTTCCGCGTCTCTTAAGTGCTCCTTTTCGATATAAAGCGCCATTTCTGGATTGGACATTTCCGATACGCATCGTCTTCGTTGGTTTTGAGCCGAATTGGATTGGCCAGGTCTTGGGGGCGATAATAATCTTGGAGTTCTTGGTGGACTGAGTAAACCACAAACGCTTTCGATTTCGTCGGTGATGCTGGTGTATTCGGTATGCATGCAGAGGAGTTTTGCTCGAGGATTTGCGGGTGGTGCTGATGGACCGGAATTTGTTGGCGGGATAACTTTTATTCGTGGTTCTGCGAATGTTACGCTTCGTTCGACAGTTCCAGCTCGAACCGGTAGGAATACTGTGTGGTCACTGTTGTCGGGTTCTGATTGGGTTTGAGAGATTTGTCTGCGCGTAAGACTTCGTTTGCTTCCATGTAGAGATTCTTCAGCTAGAAACAAATGGTGAAATTAATCAACTGAGGGCAATACACTGCTTATTAATCTTACCGTTAGCACCTCCATCAGAACTTCTTCTCCCGCAAGAATCCCGTCTTCTCGCCGCACTTCTAGCCCTTAAAGTGTCTAAACTTAAAGCAGTCATATCTTCTACGGATAATTTATCGACTTCTTCTAATTTTTCACTATTCAATGATGATTTGGATTCTCTACTCATCTGCCGTTCCTCAATTATATCCAAATGTTTTCGACTTCCTTTAAAATAAATCCAAAATTATCAAGTATTTTTCACGAAATTTGTGCTTTAACGTTACCCGATATAGAAATGTTATCCAAGCATTCTTCTTGTTCGATATCTTCTTCGATAATCCTTACTTCGAAATGTAAACCATCATCGAAAATATAAGCGTCAGGTCTAACTTCTGTAAGAGATCTCGTGGGTTTTCGTCTTATCACAGGCGGTGGTTGTATTGAAAGATGAGAATCTTCAGATGGAGCGTCAGATCTTTCACTCATTTTCCGAATCCGATCAGGTCCCGGAACAGGTATTGGAGGCAATTCTTCGAGAGTTTGAGTTGCCATGAATCGATGGATAACCGCTAAGTGTTCTAAAATATCTTGCGATGCTTCTTCTACTTTTCTAAGTCGAAATTCTAAATTTTGCATGGTTTGCGTTTGACAGTTTTCTTTGGTGTTTATATCTTCTACTTTCTGGAAAGTTAATGTTTAAAATTTTAATATCAATTTAATTTATTAAGAAAGTAAAACTATTTTAAATAGACGCATCTAGGTTTCTTTTTTAATAACAACAATAAGTACAAGTAACATTTATGGAGCTTCACACGACAGATTTCATTTTGATTTGTTTGTGTCATCAACTTATTACTGAGCTAGCTAATATCTAATACTTTTCTATTTGCTAAGCAAGTACGAATATGCAACAATAGCAATTTATTTGGATAAATACTATAGATATGTAGTTATTTTAGTGAATTAGGTGATATTATTATAAATAAATTACAAGTTATTTAGTTTTTATAATTATTTTTGTTTTAATTTTTAATTTGTTAGTAAAAATCAAAATTAAATTATGAAATAAACTAAAATTATTTGTGAATCTGGAAAAAAAGTGAAAAATGATTTGTAAGATATTATAAGGATGTTTACAATGTACCGGGTGTCTCTAGAAGGTGACTTACGTTTTTATTTTTTAAATGTTTGTAAAATAAATTTTGTAACATTTTTCTTGAACCAGCTAAAAATTTTTTTTTTTTTGAGATTTGTTTTGAAATCTAATGTCTTCCATTAAGACCCACCATTTTTCACCCTATTTGTGTTGCATATTTATAAAAAAAAAGTTGAATAACTGTATAGGTAGAGTGAGTGCCAGATCTGCTTGACGAGTTTAACACAAAAGTTGACACATATGATTTTGGTGTAATAGTTATGCTATTTATTTATTTGTTATCTAGCTTGAGTGTGGATGAGTTGGGTTTGGATTAGGTGTGTATGAGATGAGCTTTTTTTAGTTCCGACTAATATGATTAGGATGAGTAGGGCGGGACTTAGATGGTTTGCGTTTGGTCCTGCTTACGGTGTGGATGTGTTGATTTGGATGTGGATGGGTTGAAATTTGTGATTATTGTTGTAGCTCGTTTTGGATGTGAACAAGTTGGGTTTCGCTTGGTTGTGAATGATATGGATTCAGTTTAATGTGTATCGTTTGAGGTTTACTTTGGATATAGTGAGATTGCAATTTATAGATTTAATGTTAAAGGTCTTTCGGAAGTAGATGTTTTGAAAATCTGAAAATATTGAAAGATTCTAAGTCACCAGTATGCATACACATGAGAGATACTTGCCGAAAATATGGATATTATGCCAGAAGGCATAAATGAAGTAGAAATTTGATAGAAGTTAGGCAGAATGTACTAAATTGTACGGAACGAAAGTGTATGCGTTGGCGTGTGCGGATGATTTGGTGATCGTTGCAAGAGAGATATTTTAAGGCGAAGGGGATGGAGGTAAACGTCGAGAAGACAAAGATCATGAAGTCCTGCAAAGGGGGGAGAAGAAAGAGGGAGTAATGGAGGCCGCAGGGAAGAGAGATAGAGGAAGTGAAAGAGTATACGTACCTGGGATATGGGTTCTCGGAGAGTAATAAGATCGGGTCGCACGTGAGGGCGATGCCAAGAGAGCGAACAGGGTGATGGAACAGGTTTGGGGATGGGGGGAGAAACCTTTTGGGAGGGATATGGGAAAAAGGAAGGTTATGTTTGAAGGCTTAGTGAGGAGCGCAGAAGTAGTTGCTGGAGGATGTACAAACAGAGAAACTGAAGATGGATACTAGGGTTTGCGAGGAAACTCGAAGGTATGTAATAAGAGAGGAGGTTAAGGTAGATGTAGGAATGTAGGACGAGATAAGGATAGAAGGAAGGCCACATTGCAGGATCCTGGGAGAGTGCCGGAGGGAAATCAAGGAGAGGAGGCTGATATATGGACAGAGAGATAGGAAAGGTTATTATAGGAGAGTGGGATATTCAGTATCTGGGACCGACAACAGACGAGTGGAGAGAGGTGAAATGTGGAGAGATAGGGACAGGGACATACAGAGGCAGGAAAGAAGGTCACAGATACGGGAAGGGAGATAGTGACAGAGGAACTGCCAAAGTATTTGTTGATGGAGGGGGATGAGGAAGGGAAGAGATTGGTGGCCTGATTCCGCTGTGGCAATGTGGAGAGAGGGAACAGGTACTGGATGGACGATGTGGAGAGGTGGTGTAGGCTCTGTGGAGAGGATTGGGAGACGCTGGCACACATGCTGAGAGGGTGTAGTGAGCTGAGGCAGGTGGCGATGGACAGGAAGCAGATTTTTAGAGAGGGGCGTGAGGCCAAAAGATGGACGAGGGAGGTGATTGGGGCGAGGAGTCGAGGGTGTGAAGATTGGGGAGGAGGGTAGAGGGTAGAGGGTTGGGTGTATACACAATATATGTATACAGGGTGAGTTATTAGTATCCCGGCGGTCGATAGTTAATAAACCGTTTGAAACACAAAAAAAAATTTTATACAAAAGTTGTTTGACTCATCACTTTCTATTACACCCTGTATATTTTATCATATTATGAATACAACTAAATTTGTTTATACAACCGTATATGTATGTTACTATTTCACAGCGTTCATACTTTCTGAGATATTCAACTGTTCCAAAATGTGCCCATTACAGGATCTTTTTAAAAACGATGTAAAATCGATATTTTTTCTAATTTTTTCTTGAAACTACGCCAGAGAATAGAAAATTATTTTCACTTATACAGGTGTTCCATTTAGGCGTAACGGAGAGTATGTAGATTTTTTTAAATAGAACAGACTGTATATTTTATCATATTATAAATAGAATTAAATTTGTTTATACAACCGTATATATTACTAACTCATAGCGTTCATAGTTCCTGAGATATTCAATTGTTTTTCCAAAATGTGTCCATTGCAGGATCTTTTTAAAAACGACATTTTTTCCAATTTTGCCTTGAAACTGTGTCAGATAATAGTCAAAGCCAGTAGGTAGATGATGGTATTCAATATGTAGTATGTATAGTATATGGCAGCAAAATTATTTTACATTATAAAATATTAATCAAATAATAATAGGAAAAACAAAAAAAAACTGATAAAAATAGACAGAATATAATATTATGTACAATAACGCATATTTTATTACACATTATTCTTAAATTTTAAATATAAGGAAAACTACTACAGTTAGATTATGACATACTTATCATTAATTAAAGGTAACTTGATGGGCAATTCAACCAGCACACAATATACAGGATGTTCCATTTAAAAAACTTATGAAAAAGCCATTTGAAAAACATCAAAAGTAACTAAGTTCTATGAACACGCTGTATAGCGTATCTAATATCTTTGGATACTATCATTTACCTACTAACTTTGACTATTATCTGACACAGTTTCAAGGTAAAATTGGAGAAAATGTCGTTTTTAAAAAAATTCTGCAATGGACACATTTTGGAAAAACAATTGAATATCTCAGGAACTATGAACGCTATGAGTTAGTAACATATACGGTTACATAAATAAATTTAATTCTATTCATAATATGATAAAATATACAGTGTGTTCTATTTAAAAAAATTTACATACTCTCCGTTACGCCTAAATGGAAAACCTGTATAGGTGAAAATAATTTTCGTACTAGAAAGTGGTGAGTCAAGCAACTTTTGTAGAAAACATTTTCTTTCTCAAACGGTTTAGCAACCATCGTCCGCCGGGATACTAATAACTCACCCTGTATACATACAGGCTGGTCTATTTAACGTGAAACAAGCGATTATCTCGAAAACGGTTCATTTTACATAAAAATGAACCAAATGAAAGTTGTTCTGTGCGAAAGCATATGACGATACCATTTTTTGACCTTGACCTTATTTTCAAGGTTATATGAAGGTCACGACCAATTTTGTAAATAGCACCCTATATATTTTGTTGTAAAATCTGAATCTGTGGATAAAAGTAAAGTAATTAAAAAAAATAAATACAAAAAATTTACTGTGTGGTTTTGCCCGTACAACGGCAAAACAGCTTTTGAAAAAAATTTAAACTTCTTCAGAAACAATTAAAATTCATAAATCTTATTTGTTCTTGCTAGATTATAAACGTTAGTTATAATCTAGTTACATTGTTTTTAATTCTTAATTCTTAGGGCCGATTTACATCAGACGACCGAACACTCATTCTAACCCCACTCTATCATATTCTTTTAGTGTAAATAGATGTAGAGCATTCTTTCGTTGTTCTGTCTGTGTTCTCAAAGATTCTAGGGAATATTCTAGGAATGTTCGATCGCTTGATGTAAACGGCACTAGAGCGTGCGAACAATTAGTTAGAGCCTTCTTGCATGTTCGGACGTGCTCGCTCCTCGGAGCGGTCTCTTCAAAGCGTTCTTATGTTCTAGCCGAATGAGCATTCGTTCGGCTGATCTAAACATCTATGTGCAAGAATTCTAATTCTTGATTCTCATTTTTGCTCGTTGATATTTTGGTGTAAACGCTAAAAACACGCTTTCGTTTACACTAAAAGATCAAGAAAGAATGCTCTTGTTCTAGCTCTAGCTCTTTGTTCGTTTGGTCTAAAAGGTTCCGACATTTCTCTGCCTTTGTCAATTTGATAATAAAATAACGTATAAAAACAAGAGTTCGTGGAACTCCTTATGTCGGCATTTTCAGAAGATCGCTTTCAGAGACTTAATTGGTTGAATTGTTTTAAAATGTAACAGGTAAAACTAAATTTGCATAAAAACTGCTTGGCAACAAATTCTGGATTCATTCCATCGTTTTACATTAAGGCAAAGTGTTTAAACTAAGTCATTAAATCATGGATAGGTACTCTAAGTGTGGCAGAAAAAGTCGAAATGATTTTTATTTATGGAGAAAGCGGCAGAAAAGATGCTGATAGTATAGCTTTGTATCGACAACGTTTTCCTGATTGAAATATGCCTTGGAGAAGTACCTTTTACAGAGTTGTGAATGATTGCAATAATACTGGAAATGTGGAATCAAGAAAAAGAACTAGGCGAGCAACTGTAACTACGGAAGAAAAGGAAATTGCGGTATTAGCTAGCGTTGAGATAAATCCTCAAGTTAGCACTCGACGACTTGCAATTGACGCCGGAATATCGAAGACCAGCATTTTAAGAATATTAAAGCGCAACAAGTATCAGCCATACCACATTTCATTGCATCAACAGCTTTACGGAGGTGATTTTGAAAATCATTTTGATTTTGAAAATTTTTGATTAATATTTTGTCACTGGGCACAAGAACGACGTGCGGATGGACGTCAATTTCTTTGGTAACGTGCTATTCTCGGATGAGTCTACTTTTACAAACAAAGGACAAGTCAATAGACATAACATGCACTATTGGAGCGTTGAAAATCCGAGATGGTTTCGTGATGTAGAACATCAACGACCTTGGTCGGTTAATGTTTGGTGTGGCATAATTGGTGATAAATTGATCGGTGCATACTTTGTTGATGGTATGCTGAATGGGGAGAAGTACCGAAATTTTTCAGATGATGTCTTACCAACGTTACTTGTAGATTTGAGCATATGGTTTCCCCCTTTGCACAGAACAACTTTCATTTGGTTCATTTTATGTAAAATGAACCGTTTTCGAGATAATCGCTTGTCTCAAGTTAAATGGACCAGCCTGTATATTACCTACTATATACATATATTGTATTGGAGTAATATAGTAAATTATAAACAATAAAACACTTATTATTATACTAAACTGTTAGAAATAATTGTATTGTAATAATTTTCTTGCAAAGACTCATTGTAATAGACTGTAGAATTCATGATGAACTCATTGTGAAAGGTCAAGATTGCATAACATAGCATCGATGTATCCAAAGGAAGTGTAAACTAGTTATAATAACTACAAGTGCTTCAAATAATTTCTCTACTCAATAGAGCAATATCTAAGAAATAAATTAGACAGTCGGCAGCTCGTTTCATTTCTTAAAGTAACAAAACTTCAGTGTTTCATACATTTAATATTTCATGCGTAAGTAATATGATTCACCGACCACTGCATGTTACAGGACAATGTGTTGTTACCTTTTGACCTCTAACAATGATAACCAGAACTTGTAGAAATAGATCTCTAGAGTTGTGACAATTTGCTATTAAGTAGCAGCTAAATCCAAAAGGTGCTAAAAGGTGGTACTACATTTAAGTATAGAAAGTTGATGTTCGATTTTTTGCAGGGTGGTTTCAGGATTTTCATCTACCATTTCGAAAACAGTTTCTTTTGGGTTTAAAGTACCTGTTTTCAATAAACGTCTTTCGATTTCTAGAGACACCCGGTATTGTTTTAATTAAATAACTTTTAAATAATATATAAACTCTTATAGTATTTACCATGATAAACTTTTTACAACATCATTTCAAGAAAAAACGTTTAGCAATAGCATTTCAACATAACATTACCTTCGAACACAATACTATTGGGAGTAGGAACACCTGCGTTTAAATTTCTATTTCACCATAACTTACAAAAATCCTTACTTTAAATAATTAAAAAAACATACCTGAACAATATTCTCAACCCTTTCCGTGGTAACCCTTATCCTATCTTCAGTTGATTGTTGTAATTTGTAATCCTGTTCCGCAAAATAACCTTCGACGCACTCTTCTTCGAAATCGTACAATCGCTCCATATCCTCTTTCTCCAAAAATAATTTTAGTCCGTTATCGTACGTTTCTCGTATCCCTTTGCATTTTCGTTTGATGTATTTACACACCAAATAAATGTGACATAATAGGATAAAAGGTGGTGGTAAAATGGGCTTTTGTTCATACTCCATGACGACTGTAAACCGTTGAAACATCCAAACTTGATGTGAGACCGCGTTTACTTCGATGAAGATATTGTTGAAGACGGCGATTAGTAAGTTTATTAAAAGAATATTTGCGATTAATAAATAAATCGACATCACTGCAGGCGTTATCCAATGACCAGTTAAACATTCTTCTTGATCTTCTTGCCCACATGGAGGATCAATACTATCAGCGAATACTTCACCATATAACATAAAATATGGTTCAAAAAATACCTAAGAAAAAATATTTCTAAAATGAAATTTATAAAACTACAAAGTTAAATATGGAAATTAATCACTTAAATTATTTTAACTTAGGGGTAATTATATGTTAATTAACGTACATCTCTGGCAATTTTCCAATCGGGTTCCTGATTGGGATGTAAAATAGCTTGGCGACAAACTCCGAAACTCATTAAAACTACCAATAAAAGCACTACGAAGTATATCATGTTTTTTACCATTTTTCCCATCATTGTTACAAGTGGTCCTTAAAACATCTTAGATTTACAACATAATCTTATCCAAATTATTTTTAAATAACTTACCCAAATATTTATTAACGCCCAATATATTTAATATCCTCAAATACCAATAAACACTATTAACGCAATACATAACTCTCCCGATAGACATAGTGTCATCTTGTAGCCTCAAAACGAGAGCGACCATAAAGAATAAAATTGCTGCCGCGTCGCAAGGATTCCACATATTCCACACCCAAACGGCAAATTTATGACTGAACGTTTCAGGTTCTGAAGAAAGTAATTCTCTTACTTTCTCACATCCTAAAGTGACGATATAAGATATTGCTAAACATTCTTGCCACGTGGGATATTTTTCCATTTTAACTAACACAGTGTAACTAAATATTACCAAAAAAACTAAGTATGCAATCTGAAAAAAAAAATGGAAATCAATTAAAATTGAGATGATTGAATTTTGAAAAACATACTGAATTAGCCCAAAATTTCGTTATAGGTGCCGTGAAGAATTCGTAGAGTTTCTTTTTTGCTTTTAATGGTCGCGTTCTTCGTTCGAAAAAGGAATCCTCCCAGTGATGATAAAAAAGGTATTTTGTTTCGTCAGATTCAGGTAAAACTTTACCGTTTTCTTGGACTACTGTGTCACGTGGCATGAAACCACTGTCTGTTAATAAAGCCTATAAAATATGTGTTAAAGTAAATTTATAATATTAATTTGGCAAATTACACAAGTTTACATCTATGATTTGGACACTTTTTTTGTTTAAGAGTAAAAATATGTTATTTGTCTCTGATTACTAATCGTAATTTGTTTCGCTATCATGCCAGATTTTTAAGAACTTATAAGTAAATAGTTATAATATAATTTTTCCAAATTACGTTTAAGTCAATTCTGTGAAGAATAAAAGTATTGAACATTCAATACCTTTCCTTATTTTTATCCACTTTCCATATTTATCTATAAACAAAGACCAGATAATGTGAAATAACAAGAATGAAGAAGCAACAATTATACGTTTGCATTAAAGATAAAACTACAAAACAAAAACAAAATTAGCATATTGAATAAACGATTTTAAATTGCTAGATAATCTCTCTAACATCGTACTATGACCTCCCCACGTTGTTCTAGACAACACCTGCAATAAATATCAGAAACTTTAATTCAAGAACAAATATATTATCCTATAATCCTATTTCCGGAAATACAAGTATTACTTAAAAACGTGTTCATTTGCAAGAGTCAGATCGCCCTGAAATGTTTGTTTGTACACACATAAATGATGAAGGTAATAGCCTGCGAGAACCACTTTTCGAGTTTACAAGTTTTCCATAAAAATTGGTTTGGTAAGTTTGGTTTCAAAAATCGCAAATTTTTTGTTTGAAAAATATAATGGAAGCTTGCATAATATTACATTTTGTTTTTAAGTTTTTCTTTTTTGTTTTAATTTCTTTTTCGATCCAAGAAAAATTTGGCTTTGTGTTTTTTCTGCTTTCGTGAATGTTTCAGTAAACTTATTTATTTATTTAATTAAAACTGGAACTAACAGTAGCACTATCACTAGAAATAACAGTAGACCTAGATCTAGAAATTTTCCGGTTGAAAAACTGTTAAACGTTTTAAACATATTGTTGCAACCTTCGTCAGAAATAAGTTCAAAGTGAAAGAGTGTTATCATACTCCTTATGTCTGCGTTGTTATGTTACATTTCTTCCATTAGACACCAATGTTTATTCATTTGAATGATCAAAAATCTCTTCTGCTCCACCTACTGGGCACTAGAAATATTGTTGTTAAACAATATTGTATTGATTAGTGGAAGCATAACAATTTCATTTGGAACTTGCGCAATATCATGTAAATTGTTAATTGCAGCCAACAGCCCATGCAATTGCAACGGCCTTTTCCAGTAATTAATAATATAATTTAAAAACAAAATGTAATATTATGTTATGCAAGCTTCCATTATATTTTTCAAACAAAAAATTTGCGATTTTTGAAACCAAACTTACCAAATCAATTTTTATGGAAAACTTGTAATCTCGAAAAGTGGTTCTCTCAGGGCGGCCTGATTCTTGGAAATGAAAACGTTTTTAAGTAATACTTGTATTTCCGGAAATAGGATTATAGGATAATATATTTGTTCTTGAATTAAAGTTTCTATTTGCAAAACATAATATTTGTGTTCTGTTCCAAGTAACATTTGTATATTTTACTTCGCTGTTTCTTAAGATGACTGCTTCAAAAGGCATCCTGAAATTCTGTTCTATCTAAGAGTTCTTGTACATTTGAAAACCTTTTTTGTTAGTTGACTCAGAATGGAAAACTGGTAAAGACACTGGACTTTTGAACCTTGATACGGCCCAAACAATTCAATGCAACCTAATCAATATCTAATCAATGTAACCCAAACAATTGATACTGAGTATCAACTCATCAAAAGGTGTAAATGCAAGTTAGAGAATTTGTCGTTTATTTATTAATATGTTATATTCACTAAATAATAAACACCTATGAAATATTTTGTCACATTGCTAAAAGGTGTCAAAAAGTTAACAACAACTTCCCAATTTGACAATTTTGAAGTAATTTCTTCAAGTCATTTTGAGTATCATAGTATCAATTGTTTGGGTTACATTGATTAGACATTGATTAGGTTACATTGAATTGTTTGGGCCGTATCAAGGTTTAAAAGTCAAGTGTCTTTACCAGTTTTCCATTCTGAGTCAACTAACAAAAAAGGTTTTCAAGTGTACAAGAACTCTTAGACAGAACGGAATTTCAGGATGCCTTTTGAAACAGTCATCTTAAGAAACAGCGAAGTAAAATATACAAATGTTACTTGGAACAGAACACAAATATTATTTTTTTGCAAATAGAATGATAATAACGAGGTTAAAGTTGCATTGAATGGTACGTCGTCGTTACAAATGGCCCAGGTAAAACAGGTTATCTCAAACCTTTTTTATTATACAGGGTGATTCACATAAGAACCGACACAGAGCAGGGACATGTAGAGGACAATACATTAAGATGATTTAACGCAACTTATCTCTATACTAAGTTGTACCCCCTGAGGAGTATAGACCTTCAAAGTTGGCTCTTAAATTTTTAAAACATTGAATATCTTCGTAATACATTAAGCTAGAAAAACCAAATTTGGTATACGTTATGAGTGTACCCAGGGTATTAATTGGTAGCATGTTGAGACCAATTTAGGCATTTGAAAGAGTTGATTAACGGTGATGGTCCCCTAAATTTTGACAGATTTTTTTAACCTTTTGGTTGATTTAATACATAAAACCTTGTTGTCAAATAACTTTATAAACTATTTGTCAAGTTTGACGTACAATTTCATAGCCGACTACTGTATTTTCGCTTATTTTAAGTAACATTACAAAATACGTGTCTTTAGTTATTTAAGTTTTTTATGAAAACGACAAAGTTTTTTAAAAAATAATAAGAGTAAGAAAAGTTATAGAATTAAATTCCACATGAAATGAAGTAGTAATGTATTAAATCCGCCAAAAGGTTAAAGAAATATCTCAAATTTAGGGTACCATCACCCTTAATCAACCCTTTGAAATGCCTCAATTGAGTTCAATTTGCTACCAATTAATACCCTTGGTACACTCATAACGTATACCAAATTTGGTTTTTCTAGCTTAATGTATTACAAAGACCTTTTTAAAAATTTAAGAGCCAACTTTGAAGGCCTATACTCTTCAGGTGCACAACTTAGTATAGAGGTAAGTTACGTTAAATCATCTTAATTTATGGTCCTCTACATGTCCCTGCTTTGTGTCGGTTCTTATGTGAATCACCCTGTATTTACAACAATTTAAACTGGTCTAGTTAGACCAACCATCTGCATATTTACAACTTGCAACAACGATAGACTTTAAACTAATTAAGTCTTGCAACTACATTAGTTATCTCTTTTGTTTCAAAAATGGTTTTATCTTCTCCAATCTATGGTACATCAATGATGATTATCTAGTAGTTGAAGTACTTCAGCATTCTCATTTAAGTGAAGCCGTTCTTCGCGCTTCTTTGCGTACTTTTTAATTTCTTCCTGGACCGTTGGAATGTTTAGTGCTCTGTGTATCATGGGGTATTTACTATGGTACGTAGAACTGTATTTTGGACTTTCTATATTACTTGGATATGGCTCTCTTTCGTATATCCTTGGTGTTATACCATATAATCATATCGGTATTAAGATCTTATTGTATACTACAGTTTTATTATACAATGTTAGGTTAGAATATCTTCTCGTTAGCGATTTTCTTGATCTAAATTTCATGTTCATCTCTTCCTTCTACTTTCTCACATGAACCTTCCACTTTAACTTGGTGTCAATTGTCATGTCTAAGTATTTTTAAGTCAAAAGTTCTTCCCACCTCAGTAGTTACTGACTGTCTGCAATACCACTTACCTGGTGTAGGTCTGGTATGTGTACTGCTGGTATACAGTACATACAGTAGAGGTTCAAGCACACTTCTCTGAGGTACTCCTGTTTGCATTTCTTTTAAGTTCGAATATGTAGAGTCTTAGAGTCTGTTGGTTATATACAATGTCAAGATTGCTGCATATTGCTTTTTCAAGAATTTGTTCAACTTATAAATCGGACCTTCGTGCCAGACTTTGTCAAACGCTTGTGCTACATCTGAGAACAGTGCAGAGCAAAGTTGTGTGTCTTTGAATGCTTTCTCTATAACGTCTGTAATACGATGTACTTTGTCGATTGTTTAATGCAATCTGTCTAAAGACTCTAAAGGCACCCTGATAGTTAGGTATTAAATTAGTTTGTTGAGTGATTGGTTTAATTCGTTTTAGCAACAGCTTTTCAAAGAATTAGGAAACTATTATAAGAGGGATATAGGTCTATATAATTAGACGTCATACGGCGGTCTACCTCACTTAGGTGATGATGTCTATTTACATTTAAGTTATGATTTTAGCATAATGATTTCTGCAACCTTTCAGCTTACGGCTATGTATGTATTTCAATTAAATAGTTCCGTTGAGTAAGTAGATCACTCTGATCTTAACTTTTTTGGAAGTTGCTTAAGTGTTTGCTCTGTGATTAGATCGAAGCTCTGGTGCATTTTTAGGATTTAGATTAGAGTTTATCAATTTAGTTATTTCTTTCGGGCTAGCTGGAGTAAGTTTTCTTCAATTTAAATTATTTATACCTTTAAGTGTGTTATCTTGGATTAGATTCTGTGTAAACGATTACTAAATATTCTGCAAATACGTCAGCTTTCTGTTTTCTCTTGCCTATTTGCCCAATTTCTTTCTAATGGGAGGAATTGATATAATTGGTCTTTTAATCGCTTAGTAGTTTTGAACAACGAATAATCGTTCTCCTCTTCACTTGTTAGACTGACTAAACATTAATTCAGAGAATTATCCTGTAGTTTGGGAATTTCGCGTTTTAATCTTTATGATTTCATTAAAGATCAGTGTAATCTAAATGCTTCATCGTCAACCATAACGTATGGCAGCTTTTTATTTAAATTAGTACGAAGTTGTCTTATTTGTTATTTTTGTAGCCGCCATGAAAGTTTTAATGCCCGAATCTCATTGAATCTCAAAATTCGTAGAACAGCAACAGTGATTTGGAAGATTACAACATAACTTACAACGTTGGATCACCGGAATCGGATTCCTTTCCATGAATTGAAAAGACGAAACCGTCCCGGTAGTATAATTATTAGTATAATTCGATAATTACACACCAAGTACTTCAATACAAGGTAAACTATTGCGTAATTTTGAAGAGCGTTTACTTTGACTTAAAGTTGACGCAATTAACGCAGCAGAAACAGGGTGAAAAAATGTATAGCCATGATGGTTAATAAATTACCACCTAATTTGGCTAACCACGCGAAACTGCAAATTCTTACGTTAGTTAGTAGCCTCCAGGAATTTGACCTTAAAACGGTTTCGCTTTTAGAATATTTGTAGTCTTTATTTGTGTCGTATTTTTAATTATAGAACCTATATTCGAGAACAGGGGAGTAAATATTGACTCACCCAATAGATTAATTACGAGTTTTGGTTATGAATATTAAATTGTGGTAAGCACTCATAATTTAGTTTGAAGATATCTTTAACAAACGTATCCTATGATATTATAATTTTAGGTCACTTGCCACTGTAATAAGTGTGAAGAATAATAGGCATTACTGTGTAATAAAAAAACGATAAAAAGATCAAATGAAGGATGAAATAAAAGTTAAATAAGGATGAAGCATCAATTGAAACTTGTATTTACCAATGTAATACACGATGGACAATCAACTATCGACCAGAATGCGGGACCATCCACGTCAACGACGAACACTTCCGGTTCGGTTGAGACAGAGACGTTTAGATGCCAGATCTCAGGTTAGTAACGTAAGAAAAAGTGAAAACTTTCATGTCATTTCGTCATCTTAAATCGTAATCATACGCACAATTAGTAAACGTCGTTATTTGATTTTTGGTCAAATAATTAATTAATAACGTTTAAGTTCTTAAAACCCTAAATATACATTTCAAGTAATCTGACACGATCGTGAAAAGCTTGTGATTAATTTAAATTCAGCACGCGTCTTTGTATCCAAAAATAAATATCTGTAAACTTGTGTTATTAAAACACCGTAACTCACACAAAACAACCACAACAATATTTTACAATAAATAACAAACTTCTTTGTGTTACGATGATAAACATCACACAATATCATAATTGTAATTTAAACCAATTAATTTTATTTTTTAACTGAAAATAAATGATGAAAAAATGGTTTATTATAATTTCATGCATGTGAAGGATGCTTTAGTTATTTTAAAAGCTGTGCATGATATAAAATGAAACGATAAATTAGTACTTGGACAAAACTAGCAAAAAATTGTGAAACGTCAAATTCGTCGAAACTAGTCTACTACCTTAACGCCTTGCTGCGGATTCGATTTATTACGAATACTCATATTTCTAGTGCGTTTCTATAGAACAAGAAAAGTCGGTGGTTCAGTATACCGTAAAATACATAGTTTCATTTTCAGAAGAAACGTAAGAAAAAAAAGTGATAATGTATGAGGAGTAGTGTTAAAAAAGAATTACAAACCTCGGCGTCTAATGATTTCTCAGACTCAGACAGGTCATCGTCAATATCGCACACTAATTCTAAGTGTTCCTCGGCCGTTTGCGGCATGAGTTGTAATTCTTCTTTTGACTTAAATTCTAATTGTAAAATGTACGGTGGAAAAAGAAGGCCCAACACAATCTATATAACAGAAATTATATAAACAATTCAAAATAATAAAATAATATTTGTGCATGAATTATTCGATCGATTTCAACGATCAAAAAATCAAATAAAATTGTAACAAATCAAAAATAACTTCTTTATATTAAAAATATTCAAAAATAATCCAACAAATCTATAAAAATGTAAATAAAAAAATTACCTTGAGATTGGTATTTTTTCTTGTACGAAGTCCTCCCATCCAAAGATCGGCCAAAATAATCTGAGAACAAGGATGAGCTAAAAGAGCTCGATGATTTGCAGCTACCGCCAAACTAAGACACGTTTGACCAGACCAATTTTGCAATTCGCAGGTGAGAAGTTGTTGAGCAACATCGTCGTCTTGACGATAACAATAATCTAATAATTCCAGAGCTAAATAAAACACATTATTTAAAAATATTTTATTACAAATTTAATAACTAAATTCACCTATATTTTCAAATTCTTTTCCATACGCCCTTAGTTCTTCGTACACTTCAGTTTCCATATCATCTTCTGCTGCTTCATGGGCCATTGCTTTATAAAGTTTACAAGCTATTAAAGCTTTTGCTAAAGCTTCTTCACCATGCTGCCACATTAATAATGCCATTTTTTGTCGTTTCATTAATACTGCCCAAATCTAATAAGAAAATTATTAATTTAATAAATAAAAATTAGAAAAAGAATATTATATAACGTAGAATTTTGAATTAATAACCCAAATTGAATTTTACATAATCAAAGTATTTATTATTGTTTTCGTTGAATAAGCAAGAGGTATGCCTTGATTTTGAGATTATGTATAAAAATAAAACAAAATTTGATAATACTAAAACGTCTGCTTAAACAATTAAGATGTAAGTTTAAGATGTAAGTAACCTTCCAACCGAAACACTGTATCAAATGTGCTGGCAGACATATATGTCAAAAATGCATCCAAAAAGGAAAGAAATTAAAACGCTTAACACACTTAAAATTATAGCCTGGAATGCAAGTGGCAAATTGCATCAAGAAGATCTTCAAGCAATCGTCGAAACAAACAAGATAGATGTGAGATAGTTGATATGGAAAACGTATTTTACCAATCATTTATCAAATTTAAAGGATATAGAGCTTACTCCATAAATCTCCCAGAAAATGCAGCAAAGGGGGAAGTGTAGTAATAATTAACAGAAATATTCATCATTTTGAAGATGCTAAAACTGAAACAAAAGATATTCAAACCACAGCTGTAACTATCAAAACCAAAAATGATAGTTTAGCTGTGGACAGTTTATATTGTCTTCCAGAACATAATATCAAATGTGAAAGATATAAGGTGGTGATTACAATGGCAAACACGCACACTGAAGGCTGTTCAAGGGCAAGGATGCGACACTTCTTCTACTTGTATGAACTTTGCAGACAACTTTGAGCTAAACTTGGACTACACACCAATTGTGCTAACTTTAAGTGAAGACATTATCTCAAAATCGACTCATCCTGGTCTGGTTAACAAAAAAACTGATTGGGAGAGCTTCAAAATAACGTTAGAAAGAATTACTTTGAAGAACCTTACAACTGATATCATAAAAAAGAAGGGCGAGGAAGAAATGGCAGTGGTCCAGGGAGCCACAAGACGAAACAAAACTGAACAATCTTACAACTCAATTGAAAAATGAAAATAAATAGTTAAAAAATGATACCATCAGTAAAGTCATTCAACATAGACTTACTAATGATTACAGCACCGATTACCGAATATTCGCCATGGAGATCTAAAAATATCTATCATGCACGTCTGATCAAAAATGAAGACGAAAGTTTAGCCTGAGATAACGAACAAAAGGCTTCAAGATTCACAGACTATCTAAAAATGTTGGCCTACTATCAGAAAGTATTGGACAGGAACACAGAGTAATACCACACGCCTCATCAATTCAAGTCATAAAGGAAATCAAGACTAATATTAACCCGAAAAAAGCTACTAGTTTCGACTTTGTAACCGGCCGGATGCTTAACGAGGTTCCGCGTTATGCTGTCGCTTGAGTAGCATCGTATTTTTCCGCTGCGTGTTATCTCGAATTTACCAGTTAAGATGCGCTTTACTAGTGAAAATTTACGTGAATTAAAAAACTTATTCAAAGATTCTATTGATGACCTGTTGAAGAGTGATACGTTTATTTCTAAAGTGATAAACATTGCGAAGGAACATTTTGTTGCGGAAATTGAGGAGCTCAAAAATGTAAACAATGATTTGTTCAATCCGACATACGCGTTAATGAAAAATCATAATTTCCTCACTTATACTGTAATATACTATTACATAAAGAAAACCAGTTGCTCCGTGAAAAGGCGAATGACCTTGAGCAGTATACACGACGAAAAAATGTTCGTATTTTNCCTCACTTATATTGTAATATACTATTACATAAAGAAAACCAGTTGCTCCGTGACAAGGCGAATGACCTTGAGCAGTATACACGACGAAAAAATGTTCGTATTTTCTGATTAAATGAAGAAAATCAAGAACGTCCGCGCCCGATAATAATCAAATTCGTAAGTTATAAATCTCGAGACAGGAAGACCTAACTGCTTCCACTTACAATCTTTTTATGTTAACACGTGAAAAGTATGGATCCGCAAATTGGTGGACCAGTGATGGGAGAGTTCGGGTTAAGGTGGATGGTTCTATCATCACAGTTAAAAGTGATGACGATATAAAGAAGAATTCTAGCGGTACTAGAAGGCGCACGTTGTTGGAGGCTAATTAAGCGCCATTATTTATTTCAGTATGTTATTTTCATGTTAGCGGGAAGTTTCTGTTTTCTGCTTAGGGTTTTCAGTGTGTTTAAAGCGCCCTTCACACGATCAATATACAGGCTGTCTCACGTAACTGGTTCGTTAGAATTTTTTCAGGTTCCACTATTCGTAGAGATTTGAAATTTTGGTAGCATGGGTTGTTCATTCGGAACTTTCGATCTAAAATATTTTCAAGATGGCCGCCACTTNGCGAATGACCTTGAGCAGTATACACGACGAAAAATTGTTCGTATTTTATGATTAAATGAGGAAAATCAAGAACGTCCGCGCCCGATAATAATCAAATTCAAATAAGTTATAAATCTCGAGACTCGGTAATCAAGATTCGAAGTAAACTTAAGGGTTCGAAGATATCTATACAGGAAGACCTAACTGCTTCCACTTACAATCTTTTTATGTTAACACGTGAAAAGTATGGATCCGCGAATTGTTGGACCAGTGATGGGAGAGTTCGGGTTAAGGTGGATGGTTCTATCATCAATCATCACAGTTAAAAGTGATGACGATATAAAGCAGAATTCTAGCGGTAGTAGAAGGCGCACGTTGTTGGAGGCTAATTAAGCGCCATTATTTATTTCAGTATGTTATTTTCACGTTCGCGGGAAATTTCTGTTTTCTGCTTAGGGTTTTCAGTGTGTTTAAAGCGCCCTTCACACGATCAATATATATTGTCAATAAAATATTGTCAATATGGCTAATAAATATTGACAAACTGTAATTGCTTCAGACTATCAATATTTATTGACAATCTACTTAGTTTTGCGTTGGCTGTCAAAAATGTCATGTCATGTTTACATGTTAATGAACCATCCTGGGAGTTAATAGCACTTTCGTCCATTAAAGTATATCTGTCTGAATTCATTATTAGGCGATATAATCCGTAATATAATCCTACTAACGTAGGATTGTCAATATCTCCCTCAGACTGTCAATATATCAACTATTTTCGTTTTCGTCAAACCATCTCATCAATATTTTTAATATCAATCTTTCTACTCACACGTTCAATAATATTGTCAATACCCTTGGTCAATACTTAGATATTGACAATATATATTGATCGAGAGTTGAAGATGAGAAGTTTAAATTTTGATTTTACTTTTTTATTATTTTTTTTTGTTGTTTTTGATGGTTTGTTGGAATTTTTAATTTTTTTAAAATGCTACTCAGTATACGATTTTGTTCTTTTTGTGTTTTTGTTTGTCTTGGTGCAAGTTAAAATCAGTGGTAGTGTTGTTACCTTTTCTGTTCTTGTATCATTTGAGTCATTGTAATTTGAATACTTTTTTATTCATTTTAGTTGTAAGGATTATTTTATTTTGTCTTGTTAATTATATTTGTATTTTTTTTTTGTTTCTGTTCAAATAATTTTGTATCTTGTTTTTTGTAATCATTATTTCTGGCTCAATAAACAGTTTATTATTATTATTTCGAGAAAAACAATACTTAAAATAAGTAGCCTGACTAATGCTTCATTCCGACTACAATATATATCGCTGTTGGGGAAGGTAGCTAAAGTGATACAAGATCTTATCGGCCAATGGCACTACTACCGATAATGTTCAAACTGTTTGAAAAATTATTGCTTGAAAGGCCAAGGCCCATCATCATACAAAAATCTTATCATCCCGAATAATCAATTTTGGTTCAGAAATCAACACTCTACAATTAATCAGAACCACAGAGTTACTCGTACCATTGAAAAGTCACTAGAAGAAAAGATGGTTTGCAGAGAGATTTCTCTGGTTGTGGTGCAAGTCTTCAATAAAGTATGGCATAAACCACAAACCTGAAATGTGTCTTCCTGTCCAATATTTAAAAATCTTAAGAATCATATTTATGTGAACGATTTTTCAGTATCAAACAAGATGATACCTACTCTGTATCGAGAAAAACCCAAGCAGACGTACCACAGGGCAGTGTATTGGGACCTTTATTTCCTAAATAAAACAGACTTTCGTACTTTTGATGAAAATGCTTTGGCCACATTTGTAGATAACACCGTAATTCTAGGCAGTAAAAGAAACAACAGTGAAACAGCTTTTGACGAAATATAAATCTGGATGAAAAAATGGCGTATTAAATTAAATAAAAACAACTCAGTGGCTCTTGACGCTAAGCTCAACTGGCAGCAACAAATCTGTCAACAAAAAATAGGAAGAACTTAGGCTTAATTATAAGAAAATGTACTGGTTATTGGGCAAACATTCAGTCCTTACAGTACATAAGAAGCTAATGTTTTATCAACAAGTCCACAAAACTGAACTGGAAGAACGGAGGCTACACCAGCACTTTAACGTCGAGGTTCTGCAGCTTCTGGATAACGATGGCTTAGTTGGTAGATTGAAAAGAGTGAAAATATTTGAACTGCTATAGTGAAAGTGACAAAAAACTAGTAGGTACAGATAAAAGCGGTGTGAGATATAACAACGGTTGAACCGAACCAAAGCGACTATCATAGGATAAGTACTTTATAATATAACCGCAGTAGATTAAGTTTGTCGTGTCAAGTTAATCGGAAAAAGATTAAAAAAAATTAAAATTCATTAAGTACCTTTTCAATTTCTAAGGGCAAAACTGATTGATTCAATTAAAAAATTTTTTTTGAAATTGAAAAGTTTTTTTTTTTTCATTTTTGTTCAGCGAGGTCTTCAGATGACGTCACATATGCACAGACCTATATTGAGATAGAGCTGTCCTTTAAAGTTGATCGTCCTTGGGAATACACAACTTTATCCACTATTCTGTTACTCAATGCATCTTGTAACTCCAGAAATTGAAATATACCCAAAACTTTCCTTGTACGAACATCTCCACAAATTTATCAAGCTTATATTTGTCACTTTTTAACATCGAAAGCATTAACCGAGATTCAAGAAAAATGTTGCGATTTACTAATAACTCTGATACCGTCAATCTATTAAATTGAGAACAAAGCATATTATTTTGAGATCAGATCTATGATAAAACTTTGAATTAAATTTACAACTAATAAATTTGTTTACTAAATTATCAACACAAAAATGTACTATTTTATAACAATAATTGTAACACGTTGGTAATGTGATATCGTGTTTACTTATCCTTTGGTGCATATAATTACATTTATTATGCATAACTAGTTATTAATTTCGGAAATCAATATTTAGTTACCCATTATTAATTGGCGGAACATCTCCCACCTTTATAGTGGTGGCGACGTTACCTAATGAAATACCTATCTATTTATCGATAATTAAATTCACAGTTAAGTTCTTGTGAATAATTTGCCCACAACTTTTAATAAACGTCCATCAACTTAATCGTGGTTTAACATAATACTAATTGAGAAATTATCTATTCAAAACCCATCATTAAATTTTATAAACAAGCGTGTGACCACTTTAATTTTCAACTTTACAGCTTCTTATGCGACACTATATACGTTAGGTAGGCACATTAAAGCAACTAGTGGGTTGTGAACGATCTCGTTATCTATTCTCTGGTGAGGTGCTTATTATTAATGCATTGAGGACTTGAAAACTTAATTAAGTTGGAATTAGCTCCCTAAAGTGCACAACGTACACTCTATCTTAGCAAGTATCCTATAAAAGCCATTGTGTTTTTTAAACACAATTCTATAGATCAAAGTATTTCTACTTAAAATTAAAAAAAAATACATTTTTAATATAAATAAGTAAACTTACCAATAATTCATTGAAAGGATAATCAAACAAAACGTATCCTTGTGTAGGTAACGCCTCAGCAAGTAAACTCATCGTGTTACCCATCGCTAATTTTGCAATAGAATTTCTTCTAAATAAAGGCGTTTTATTCATTACTTTAGCGTAAATCGGTCTAAATTTTCTACGGGTGTAATAAGCTCTATAAATAAAATAAAAAGAACTAGTTTTAAGCCATATAAAAAAAATAACAAAAATTTTGTTTTCTTATACCTATAAGCACCACCCATTAATTTATTAATAACCAATCCGATATCGTGTAAAGTGTAAACGTATCCTCTAGGAATATGTGGTCGAACGTCCCTTAAGATGTAACCTAAAGTATTGCTGGGACCCTGTTTCGAATTATACAATTCTTCTAGTCTAGGTATTGTCAAAAATTTTCTCATGCTGACGCCGTTCTCTAAAAGCAGCTTGACAAAATCCGTCCGATCGTGTTCGAGAGCCTGCATCATCGCTTCGTTTAAAGCCCCCGATGGCCATTCTTGGCCGTAGACGAATATTTCAGATCGTGCGATATCGACGCGATTCCATGTTAAAGCTAAACTGAGTTGTTCGGATGGCGAAAGATGTTGTGAACGGAAGAGGGCGGTTAAAATCGTTTGATCGAGTTCTTGTGTGATCGGATCTGCTCGTTCTGATATTCGAAATATTGTTATCTACATTAAAAGGATAATCAAAAAAAAAATATATATCAAAGATTTATTAATTTTTACTTACAAGGTTTTTCTTTTGTGTACATTGTAAAAGTTCGGTGTAAAGACACTCTGCTTGTTCGATTCCGACCTCGAAAGTTCTTTGAATAGTGCTTAAGAGATAATCTTTCATTGCTTCTAAAACTGGTTGATCTCCGTTATCAGTATTTGAAGCATATCTAATGGGTGTTTAATTTGATGAACGGATTTACATTTTTTTGTTAAGTTAAAACTTACTTGTGAACGAAAGCAATTAAATCAGCGGCACGTCCAGAACCATCACAAACGACTACAGGAACTGGAGGGTCATCAGTCACATATTCTAATACCGCCCTGATAGTGTTGGTGCCTCCTTCTATTACTAAACATACTACTGGAATACTACTATGGGTATCTATAAAATTATGTAATAAAAACGTATTAATTAAATAATTAAAAAATTAATTGTTATATTTTTATTTCATTTTTATAAACTACATACTTGTTATTATTTGGGTTGGGGATGATTTATTGGGTGATGTAAGGGACTTACAGGGTTGTAGCCGCTGGTTTGATATGAATTTTTCTAATTTTCTTCTTAAGACGATTTCAGCACCGTATTTTCCATGGGTTCCATTATCCACTAATAGGAAATAGGTCAGGCGATTATTCAAAGCAGCGAACTTTGACCTAAAAATAATCAAAAAAAAATCTGAATACTCTACCATCTTCAAACTGGGAAGTTCGTATATTTTATAAAATAGACTCATCTTGATAAATAGTGGTCTGATTATTCTACCTTCATTTAGATTATATAGATTAAAGATCCTCGTTTTCAAAGCATCATCCAGTACATCAAACTCTTCCTTGCAATGTTTTACACCAAAGAATCAGCTAACATACCTACTTATTCAATAGGAGATACTTTTAAAACAATTATTATCATCGATATAGTGCAGCTTATTGTCACATACACTAACAAAAAGCTTATATAGATATAATTATAACGCGATGAATCGGGAGCCGTAGTTTTGATTTGTTCTAGAGTTTATAACTCAAATGCCGATAGTCGCCAGCCACAAGTGGAAAGGCATAAACTTGTTCCAATACAATGTTCAATTCAAACTCGAATAATATGCACAAATCGATGGCAAATTTGTGTATTAATGAGCAGATTGGTATATAAATTACGCTACTTAATACACAGAAAATAAGTTGTGGATGTACAGTGTGTGCCAATGTAAAAAGGGCATTATTATGGAATTAGAAGTGACAAAAACCTACATGAAACAAAGAGTGTTTACTCTTTTGTGTACAAGTAGATTCGCCATTGCTACCCGTTGTATGTGAGTAGCAGATTTTGACCTTTGCATTCAACGCTTCACATGTAGAGCACACGCAATCAAATTGCAGTTCAAGTTTTTTCTGAAATATTTCAAGTAAAACTCATATTTTATGCTATTTCTCAAGTCAGGGTATTTTTGGATAAAAAGTTGATGTATTTTAGTAACCGATAAACTTCAATTCAAATATATGCCTGCAAAGGTGAAGTAATGGAAATCCTTTTTTGGAAATGAACTGGTAAAGTATGTGATAAAGTATAATGCAGCTCAACACCTATGTTGGTGTAGGGTGGAACTCTAGGTAGAGTTGTGTAGACTGGTGTTCAGTGATGAATTCCGATTCTGTTTGGAGAAGCATGATAGCCGTAGGAAAGTCAGACGAAGACGTGTAGAAACGGTATATAGATGAGGTGGTAAAACCCTATATTGTTCTATTTTTCAGAGTCGCTTATCGGGCAAAATAATGCCCGTTACTATATTGAAGGCTCTTTATGACTCGATTTGCAGAGCATAATGTTCCAATTTATTGTCATAGCCATAGCGATGTTCTAATCGGTAGTCTCGACTCATCAAGTATGTTTGCGACATTACGAGGAGACTTGACAAACGCTGAAAGCTCTACACGGTGTTTGGGACATAATACCTTTAGAAAAAACCGACCATGTGCTCAAGAAGATTGAGAAGATCAGAATCAATGGCACGAAGACTGTATTCATTCATTATTAATACAATTATTTTATACTTTGTCTTGGTGTTCCGAGTTTTATGCCACTGAGTATATTCGAGTATTCCATAACGTTACACCACGTTACATCATCTTGAGGGCTTAACAATTAATAATTTTATTTACATATCTTGTACCACATCTTTCTCCTTTTCTTTATGCTTCGTTAAAACTTGACTTGTCAACGTAATCCAATCTATTTTGCGCTAATTTGAAGATAAAGGACCGCAAGCAAAAACAAATATGTCAGTCAAATACTAATTTCCAGCAAATGAGAAAATCGTTCTTCGTATAATGTATGTCCCTATTTCAATAAATCCTAATATATATTTTAATTAGTTATTAAATAGTAAATCATTAACATCTTTGGTTTCGAATAAATTTGATCGTTACTCACTTAATTAGTTTTAATAAAAATTAGCAATATCTTGTACTTTCATTTTTTAGTATTAAAAGAACGTAGTCTTTCTTACAATATTTTGTACTCACAGATCAGTCCTTCTTTATGAAGACAGTTTATCGTTGTAGAAATTCTTCGTACGTCTTCCATGATTTGCCAAAAAGTTCTTAAAGCAGAGAATTTTTCTCCTTTTTTTTCTTTGGCCGTGAATTTTCATGCTGTCGACATTTGTACGATAAAATGTCTAGCTTGTTTGTTGAAACCACTTTTTTAAGAAATACTAAATCACATAACAGGTGGTATTTTCTATTCAAATCTGAGATAAGTCTGTCCTTTCATTGCCACTCTGATTAGGCCAAGTTTTTGTAAACTGTTGCTGGGGACTTTTATTAGCCAGTCTGGTATTAGAACTATTACAGTACCAAACATTCTGTAGAAATTCATGTGTTCTGTTTAGAAACAATTGTTACTTATTTCGTTAGTTTCCTCTTAATCCTATCAAACACCATATCGGTAGGCAGAAAAGTGTGGCCACGCGCTGGGAAAAATATTATTATATTTATGACAGGGGTAGTAAGCGTTGTTTTGTGAAAAATCCATCAGGGCATGAAGGACTATGTTGTTCTTGTGCCTTCTCATTTAGATTTTTCTCGGGAAAGTTTAATAGAAGTGGAAAAATCTCCAGATATCTTCTACCTGATTAGCCCACAATTTTGCAGTAAAAGTAAGGCCTTTTAGTTTCGAGTGTAGCAACCTATTTGTCAAGTTTACTGAATGGGGGGTTTTGAAACAGAGTGTGATCATAAAAGGCATTAGGTGTCATTTTGTGTACTCTCCTTTGCAGCATTAATAATATAAGATTGTATCTCTGAAATACAAAATTATCTCTCCAAAATTATCGCACCACCTAAATTATGCAGTAAGTTTAAAGGTATTTTTTTTTGAATCAACGGATGGATTTTGATGATTCTTTCTTCACGATATAGGTTGATTTTTAAGGAAGAAATGTGTTGATGGTTTCTGACAATTGTCAACGTTTTACCCATATACGGGGTGTAAAAAGAAATTTATGTTTTTTCTTCTAATTTTGCTTCTCTACATTTTCGTTCAAGAATCATCTCGATATCTCTTTTATCAAGGAAGATACACAAGTTTAAATGTAACGAATTTTTATTAACATTTTAAACAAGTAGGTGAAAACTAAAAAACACTACATAATCCTTAATCAATTCTCTCAAAATCACCTAATAACGTGTATTTCCGCCTCTCTTACGTATCACTTCTTCACAGCGACGAGGCATACTTAAAATCAAGCGTCGAATTTGATCTTGATCAATTGCATCCCAAACCTCTCTTACCATCCTCTCAACGTCGTCCAAAACGATAGGTGGTAGATGTCGGCCCCTTAACTGACGATCAATATTATCCCATAAATTCTCTATTGGATTGAGATCAGGGCTACAGGGTGGCCAGTCCATGGTTTGTATACCAACTTCATCCAAATAGTCACCGTATAGGCAACATGAGGTCTTGCATTATCATGCATTAATAAAAAAATATTTCCTATGTAAGGAGCAAAGGGTACCACGTGTTCCGATAAAATGTCTGTAATATACCTTTCACCTGTTAATGAACCTCTTCGCAAAGAAACAAGGTCTGTTCGTGCTGTAAGCGAAATTCCACCCCAAACCATTACAGATCCTCCATTAAATAAAGTTGTCGGTCGTATGTTGCACTGTGCATAGCGTTCATTGGGCCGTCGAATTACTCTTAAACGTCTATCTGAGCTGTATAAACAAAACCTTGAGTCATCTGTGAACAGTACTTGTTCCCAGTCATCAGCATTCCAGTCAAGATGTTCTCTGGCAAATTGCAATCTCCTTCTACGATAATTTGCGTTTAAATTTGGTGCTCTGGCAGGAATCCTTGCATGCAAATCACCTTCGGCGAGATGCCTTTGTACAGTGTTAGTACTAATTCGAATGTTATGAACATCTGCTACTTGTATCTGTAAGTTTCTCATTGTAACAAAACGTTCCCTTAAAGCACGAAGTCTAATAAAACGATCTTGGAGTAGTGTTGTGACTCTCCTTCTTCCTTGTCCAGGTCGTCTTGTATGATCATTTGTCTCTTGAAATCGTTGAACGGCATGTGATATTGTTGTATGAGAAACTCCTAATCTCAAGCCCATTTCACGATAACTTATTCCTTCATTGGCTAAAGTAACTGCTTCAACACACTCATCGCGGTTTAAATGTCTTGAAATACGGTCCATGTCAAATAAACACTTAATAACCCAAAGCAGTAACTTCATAGATTAAATATATAAATATACTAATATAGATGGTGGGTTCCCCACCTTAAAATGAAACGCTGTTTTTAGTTCAGACTACCCTCATGTAGCGCTAGTAGCGCGGTAGCATTCTACCCGGGAATTTGAAAAATCTTTAGAATTAGGTTTTTGGTTTTTGTTTTAAAACCATGCATGATAAAATTTTACAGAAACACATTCACTATGTCTATAAGCAAAAACTATTAATTTTATTTATAGAGAATTTGTTTCTGCAAAATTTCAACATACACAGTTTTAAAACGAAATGTTGTTAAGTCAAAAACAATTTGACTGTTGAATGTCACAATTTTATTGATTTTATACTTCCTATGATGAGGTATTTGATGCGTATGTGTACGTATGTGTGCATAAAGTGGCGGTAGTTTGATCTAAATTTATGGTTAACGCATGTTCATACGGAATTAACACAGTATGAGCCACTTGCTAAATGCGTAAATAAAATTGACAAGCATTTCTGTCAAACTGTTTGATATTTCATAGCCTGCTTGTTTCATTAGTAAGGACATATTTCAACAAAATTAAGTCAAACTTAAAAAATGTGTATCTTCCTTGATAAAATAGATATCGAGATGATTCTTGAACGAAAATGTAGAGAAGGGTTGTCATTCTAACGTAATGTAAATGGAATGTAACGGTTCTTTCTGATAAATTCCACAGGGTGTTGCAAAATTAGAAGAAAAAACATAAATTTCTTTTTACACCCCGTATATGGGAAAAACGTTGACAATTGTCAGAAACCATCAACACATTTCTTCCTTAAAAATCAACCTATACCGTGAAGAAAGAATCATCAAAATCCATCTGTTGATTAAAAAAAAAATACCTTTAAACTTAATGCATAATTTAGGTGGTGCGATAATTTTGGAGAGTAGTGTAGTTATTTCTTATTTGAAATGTTAATAGGAAGCAAAGGCTGCATATATTACATGAATCAGATTAAAAAAAAACGTTGCAACATTGACCTTGAAACTTGATGTTTAGGGGAAGCTGTTTTGTTATAAATCTTCCTAAGTTTGTTTTGAATTAATTCACTATGCAAGCACATTCTAGCAGACCTTTTTCTGTTATGTGACTCATTCTCTTTTAGATTCTCAATGAAGTCTCTCACTTATTCTTTCCAATTTCAAAAGTTTGCAAATATTGTTTTGCCGGTAGTTTTTCGAAAAGTTAAGTACATAAAAAACCGTTTGTACACATAAACAGTAAACCTCTTCTTTGTGGGTACTGTATATTTCGCCTAAAATTTGTGAGTTTTAGTACTCTTAACATCTTGTAGATAACGTCGTCTTTTCTGCTTGACGACTACAACATGTACCGACCCAGCAACAGTTTAGGAATATACAGAACGTTTCTCTTGCATATTTTGGACCTTTTTTGTTTCTTATTATACTCACAAAATGTCTGATACCTTAACAATAAGCATAACTTCAATACTGTTTACGTTGACTACTGACTGCTTCAAAGGACATGTTTTTTTCTGCTTCAGTTAGAGAGGATCAAATGTTTGCTTTTGCATAGGTTTAAATTGAATATGTTGACTATTTTCGCAATTTTAACGTCTCGTTGAAAAGCTGATAAAATAAATAGACGAAGGAGATATAAAATTATTATTTCATATTTTATCCACTTTGCAGATTATACCACAAATACAATGATTAATAGGTATATATTGAAGTATAATAATTTTTATTGCTTTTTATAGGTAACACCGTTTACATAAAAATATTGTTGTTCGCCAGAGATAATTATAATAAATGTAGGATTTTGGTAATTTCTTTCTATTACACCGATTCTGCTTATGACTCGATACATCATCAAAAGAGATTATAATGGTTAGTTAATGAGCGGTGAAACATCTTCATGTCCTTCATGAACGATATGTTTTGAAGATGGTTCATTTTTTAAGAAGAATTTTCTTCTTGGCTTATGAGAACCATCATTTTCGAAACTATCAGTTAGCGATCATTTCATCGTCAAACTGTCCTTCTCTGTGAACAGTCACTTTTTTGTTAGTTTAATTAAAATTTTCAATTTTTTGCCTTTTCTAATTCATATAACGAAGCCAGCCCAAATTAGTTCGTTTTCATCAGGATAGTCGATTATTAACCAAGGTGCATTGTAAAATGTTAAACGTACTTATGTTCCATTCTGAATCAGTTCCTTTAGTATAATCTCTACTAAACTCTGTTTCGATAACAATCAAAACGAGTTTTAATGAATTACCGACCGTAAACCATTTCATAGCTAACGTTTTCAATAAAACATTACACCTCTTCTGATATTGTTTCGTATCAAATGCCACCTTCATCGGTACCAACAGTTTAATGTCGTCCGGCTGTAATCGAATTGCACGCTTTTGATGTTCAGAAAGACCAATCCTCATGTATTGTTTCAATTTTTCCTTTACGTGATTCTCGACCAAAGAATCTAATTCGTCCGGCTTATTTCTGCTTATAATATCTGTAATTTTGCAAATAGCGTGCGTCGTTCCATAAATAAATCCTCCCTCTGTAAATTCCGGATCCCACATTTTCTGAAGGTATTTTAAACGGTATTTCGCGCTTAACCACCGAAATACATGTGGCACATACAACAAATCCGGCAGTTTAGGTTTCCCTCTACCGCTAGCATTTTGGCTAAACTTTTGACAGAAGTTCGATGTTAGACACACGTTTAAATTCGGACGGCGGTGGTCGAGTAACAACTTAGGGAATACTCTACGCGAATTTAGAACATTCACATTACATCGTGGTAAGCATAATTTCAAAATGTGCATGATATGTTACACGGGAATTTTGAACGATTTATGAATATGATGACATCGATGACATCATATTACAGTTGTCATGTCAAATAATATTACATTCCGTTGTTTACTCACAACGATGAATTCAATTAATTATAGTAATTACTCCTATTCGCTTGGAATTATGCCTAACAATAAAATATTATTAAAGAATTTAATTTTAATGAGTTAGTTTAAATGTAGGAATTAAGTTCCCAATCTCCATTTCTGAAATCATAATACCTGCTCAATGTTACCTGTATTAGTTTCCTAACTACGTTTTACTAAGTGCAGGTACTAAATGTGTTAGCCTTACGTTGTGAATACAGCGCGGCATCGTAATAGTTATTGCAGAAATCTAATTATAACTTTGTGATTTCAAACAAATTTTCGTTTAGTATCCGACAATTTCGCGTTGATAAAGTTTTAGAAGCAATTCAGAAACTTATAACCGTTCATATGCTAAATCATTTTCATGTGATTTCTAATTACTTGGTTGAAATTTTTTACCTTGGCGAAGATATAGAGTGATAGGGCACGTCTCTATCAAGACCAACCAACTCTTGATTATTTTCAACGATTCCCCAAGGAGCAATACCTAATGAGACAACTCTCCCGCTTCGTTGAGTTCTTTCGGATAACAATGCGTCTCCAACTTGTCTTGTAACGCCTAAATAAAATACGAAAATAGGGAACGTTTTATAACAATCAAATTTAATAAAATTAATCCTATTACCTGTATTTGTACCAGAAGTAAATATCCACGCACCGGTTGTTTTCGCTGCTTTGAGTAACCCCTTGCGTAGCACCTTCTTCAGCTTTGGCTGTAGCTCGAAGTTCGCTTTGCCACCCTGCACGGATATAAGAAGCTTCGGAAGTTCTAGGTTCCATTCCCTCGTAAATAATTGAATGAGAAGGTCGGGCCTCGTATCGTAAGAAACTCGTACGTACTGAAAAAAAAGTCGGAAATGAATAACTACTCAAGTTTAATTATTTCTTAACATAAACTTTTTGTTCTGAATAAATAAAGTTTTATTACTTTGTGATAATTAATAGAAAGTTTATTTATATAATTTGTTAAAATAGAATTGTTATTGTCCGGAAAGATAATTAAAAAGTTAAATAATATTGGCGGGAACGAGATTTTGATTTTATAACGAGATTACTGGAGTTGGATCGGGTATGAATATCGTATGAATGTCGCTATAGTAGAATATGATGTGTAGAATGTATTCAATTTTTATCGGAAATAGGTTATGGTTCGGAAATGATTTGTATTACTAACGATTTAGCTTTGAATATTGAATATTATGTTATAAAATACCCATTTTCTATTTTCCTTCTATGCTAGAAATTAAATTTTATCGTAATTGAATGATTGTTTTAAACAGAAACGTTATAGTTTAGGTTATAAAATATGGAATTACAGCAAAAAATTATTTCGTTGTTCAGTATCAATTATCCAGAAAAAGGTTTATGAAGGAATTCAATTCACCACTTGGATTCCTAGATTCCTTTGGCAGGCGGAATTTAAACCACTTAATGTGCTCTTGAAGTCTTACTCACATTCACAATTATACCGAAATTTATTAAAAGGAACACAGATGACATAAGTTTAATGGTTAGTAATTTACAAGAAAATATATAAAATGTTGCAATGAATCACATTCAAATTTCGAAAACTTGTTCTAATAAGAACAGTTCTATTTTGAAGAAATATATTGTCTGGAATTATAATCCAAAATGTGACTAATATAAGCGATCATAATAATATTGATCCAATAGATTGGGTAAATTTGATCGACAAGCATAAAAATTAGAGATATCTATGTACTTGCTTCTTAATAACTGGTAACAACAGGATGGAACCACAGCCAATAAGAGCAATCATTTCAGCATAATCTTTTCTCCTCCTCTAATTTCTTTACAAGAATCTTTTCATTGCTCCTTGCCTGATTTGGATACCAGTGACTTTAAAAGTTAGTTTTTTAAAAGACAATTAAAAGAAACCTTGTTTCATTAATTAAAAGGTAAGATATTCCCATAACTTATAGTCGTTTCCTTACAAATCTCTACCGAAGTGTGTTACTTCCTTTTGCCTCAACTTGGATAAATGATCGTATAAACTTACGATCAATCAGATCAGATTTACGTTTTAACCATACCATAAATTCCAGTGTGCGTGATTTGAATGCTACCTTCGTGACCGTAGTAGGAAATAAAAGACGAGCATTGGACTAGGAAATGTTTCAGTATAAATACTTAATCACTTCCAGAACAAAGATATTGCTGATGATAAGAGTTTAGCTTACGAACTGTGTGATTCTTTGAATTGAGGTGATACTTCTGTTGCAAAGTGGAGAAATGGGGAAAAAGGAATGCGTAGTTGTTGGAATCAATAGTTGACAATTTTGTAATCAGTATCTGATTATTGTAAAAATATGGGGACGTGAATATGTTTGACTAGCTCAATGCCTGTTAAAACATAGCGTGGAAATAATGACGATGGTGGTTACAACTAGTACGCGTCATAACTAGCCCTGCCCCCCATCAACATCATGGTTAATCACAAAAAAGAACAAGAGGAAGAAGACGTGCGTACGTGTATTCACCGTTGATAATATGACTGTCAGACTGTCAAATATTGGAGATCATTTACATCAATCGCCTTCTGTTGCAATTATAGATCAAAGAAAAAAAACTGAAAAGATCAAGTGTTGCAAAGTGCAAGATTGCCATGTTAATATTATCATTTTCTTGTAAAATTCGTCCCGTTACCATTTTTGTATGTTTCAATAAACCCACTTTTGCATTAAATTCTGTTTCGTTATTTGTTTGTTATATGCCCTATAAAGGTTAACCAATTAAACCAGAAGGTTTTTAAATAAAGACCAGAAGTCAGAAGTTAAAAAAAGAACACATTGATGTGGTAACAGACTTTGTGCATTTAATAATAACTCCTTTGCTGCTGACCGTTTCTGCAGAGAACGATTTCTGAACCGCTGTTATTCAGATCACAAAACGTGGCTAGAACTACCATTTACAGATTTAAGCAATATGCTCAAAACTGTTCCGACATGTCGAACCAATGGGCTGCGGAAGACATTATAAGTACTGATATTGTGCTATCAATGCCGTCAGATTTGACGGGATCACTATCACTGATTAATGCTCGATATCATATTGTACTGCTTAAACGGCAGTCCTGGATCGAAAACGAAAATTCTCTGGTTCAGGCAGACATTTGCACGTTCACAGATGGATTAAAAACGCCGGAAGGGGTCGAGGAAGGAGTATACTGCCAGACACCTCGGATTTAGCAAGCTTACAGCCTAGGTACGTACTGTACTGTATTCCAGGCGGAAGTGTTTGCTATTGACATGGCTGCTAAAATCCTTCTTGAGAAAAGGGTGAAGAACATGACAGTACGATTTTTCTCAAGACAGTCAAGCCGCTCTCCAGGCGCTGCAGACCGTGAAAACGGTGTCGACTCTGAATAATGACTGTAAAAGAACTTTAAACACACTGAGTTGTGATAACAGAGTTTCTCTGATCTGGGTTTCAGGTCACTCTGGGGTTGCTGGCAATGAAGCGGCAGATAAGCTAGCACGAGAGCGCAGCGCTAAACCGTTTGTGGAGCCAGAGCCAGCAGTTGATGTATTATTTGCGTTGGCCACCATAGGATTGAACTGTGGGCTGAAGAAATACTTCGCCTACTGTGGACCAGTTCTCTTAGAATGAGACATGCGTTAATAAGTTCTTTATTAACATCGCCACTGTCAAACCCGAGAATATTTTAGGACTTGCTCGTAGCAACATTAAATTATGTAATTTATGCAAATGTAAATGTAGTATTTCACATTACAAAACATTCGCCACAATCCTGACGTGTTCCATAAAGGTTTAATTATCGATGAAGCGTCTTTCAACTATTGAATATTTACAATTGCCACAATCATCATTATTGGTCATTAAAGGAACCCTCATATTGTACTTTGGCGGAATCAGCACATCTTTGCTTTAAAGACAGATCATCGGTCTATATTTAGTGTCAAGAATATTAAATGGTTAACAGGTAACCAGAAATGGTTACAGTAAAGGATGAAACCAAGCAATTATTTACATTGGCTTCTCAACTTACGCGGTTTAAGTTATTTAATTTTGACATAATGAATTTGCAGATGGCATGTTATAAGTGGTTGACTTTAAAACTAAACGAAAATCGTGGAGAACAGAAAAACTGATTGAAGAACGATCTGATATTGTTTCAAAATGTAAGGTTAACAAGAATTGTTAACAACGCAATAATTAGAAGGAGCTGCGGACTACAGATCAAACGGTGAGGCTATGTTTCTTTTAAATTACACTCAGACCAGATTACAATTTTGAACAATTAAGTTCTGTAGATCCGGTAAGGTGTAAAAATTGTTGTAATGCTGTTTTTAGAGTTGTGTGAAGAATTTTCACTACTGAACTGCTGATAACACCCTGAAGTTTATCAACCTCATAGTATGTTGGATTGCTTAGACTGCAAGCGATCTCGCCTAATAATAAAACAACAAATGCATGATTTTGCCTGATTAAGTCGAAATGGGTATCGGCCGAGGCAGTCAATTGAATTTCAAATCAACACAAAATTAATATACATATAATATAATGCAAAACACGCAATTATGTTTTTGTCTCACTGAGCAGAAGTCGCTTGCGGCCGAGGCATCTTAATAAATTTCATAACAACCCAAGATTACTGAACATGTATTATATTGCCTCGTCCACAAGCAACCTCAGTAAATACTAAAACAGGAAATGCATGTGTTAATAAGCCGAGGTTGCTTGCGGCCGAGGCAGTCCAATGAATTCCAAATCAACACAAAATTAATGAGTATATGTTATACTCATTATACGCATACTATACCTCGGTAGTATGCGATCTTGACACATTTTAGAACACGAATTATAATTTTGCCTTACTTAGCCGAAATCGATTGGGGTGAAGGTATTTTAATAAATTTTTTACCAACCCAAAACTGCTGGGCACATGTTGATGTGCTTATTATTTTTGTATTTTTGGTCCATTTAATATGCAGAATGTTCGTTACTAGATTATTGCTAATACCTAGAATTCTACCAACAACTCTATCATAGTAAAATAGATTAGGGTGTTTTGCTGTATCGTGAAGCATTTAAAATAAAGCCCCACAGACACACTGGCTTTTTATGAACGGCCTTGTTGCTGTCTTGAAGAATTTGTCCAAATTCCTCGAGGTAAGCTGACGATAAAGCCATGTTAAAGTAGATATACTTTCATAAATTGAAAAGTTATTTGACCTAATATACATATATGACGATGTAGCATTATAATTCTACAAAATCGGTTATTTATTTTCTTGCAAAATATTTGCTACATAGTTTCTCCCATTAATTAAAACAATTTTTTGGGATTTCCCCTTTGTAACTCCTTTAATCTTCTTTGTTATCCAATTTTAGTTACATCTTTTCTCACCTGCACCATGCATGATATTATTTTGACCTTTAAAATTATTGTTATTAGTTATTACAATGATTAAGTTTTGGATAGTCGTCCTTTATATTACAAGAGAATTTTTTTCATATATTATATTTTTATTATAGTAAAAAATTACTATAAACAGCCGAATTGTTTATGTTAATAAATTGAGCAAAAATCTGCACGCAAAACAGAAACTTGTTAATATTTAAATCAGTAATAGAGAGAGAAAATAACTTTATTCAGCTATCTACCGTTATAAAGTCTTTCCGTTTATATTAATTATAAAATAACAGTATATTTATGTTTGTGAATTTATGTTGAGTTCTACGTATAATGTTTTAGGTCTTTCTTCGTTCGTTCGGCATTTTTGGAGAATTTTTGTTTCAGTATTTTATGAATCAATGAGATTGGTTTTATTTCCATTCTTGAATATAGATCCTC